GTTTAATTTAACTTTGAATAAATTTTGGATTCATGAGTGATTCAAAGAATTAAACCTTTATCAAACTTCTTAAACAAATGACCATGTTTCTCACTTATAAATATGATCTTTTATTAAGAGTATTATGTTATACTCCATTTAGTGTACCAAGATATAAAAATTATTAAGAGCACAATTCACCCTTCATTATACTACAACTAGTCTTATTTCATTTTAGGAGTAAATAAGAAATAATATATTTCGACTGCTACTGAGAATGTTACATGATTTAGTTTTCTATTTGAATATAAATCTTGGAATCTCCAATTAATAGGTACGATTACCATCATTATACTATTTTATTTTTAAAGGCTTTAATCACATTTCCTTCGATGAATTATACATGAGCTCTCTCGCCAAAACTTTAGTTAAAAATTCATAATATTTTTCTTTGACTTTACATAGTTAATAGAAATAATTTCAATCAAGAGCAAATATTTAACAATATTATATCTATGATGTATATGTCTAGACTTATTATTATATATACTAATTTATGCCTTTTTAATTATTGACTGACTATCATAATGGACATAAATAATTGCATTGGTTTTGGCCAACTTATAATATTCTTTAAGAAATTCTAAATCAATTTAATTTTCTTTCCAACTTTATTAAAAGTAATAAACTTAGATATCATTATAGATCTTACAATACATGTTTATTTAGAGAATTTACATGACACAACTACTCTAAAAAGTATAAAGATATATCCATTTATGGATCTTAAATCTTTAGTATAAGATATCTAATTAGCATTGTTATCCTTTTTTAATATTATTAGGTCATTAGTATAATATAACCTATAGTTAAATGTGTACCTCAAATATTTGAATGTCTTTTTTTTTCTTAATGACTCATACTTAGATTACTTGTAAATTTACTTAAATTACTAATAAAGTAAGCAATATCAAATATTGTGCAATTTCTAACATGCATTAGGTTTCTAATTATTTAAGAGCATTCTAATTGATTTATTTTCTTACCTTTATTCTTGATATAGGTAAATATGTGTTAAAATGCTCCACCCCATCTTGTTGTCTAAATTCTTTGATAACAAGTCTAATTTTATATTTATCAATAGTGCAATAAACTTTAATCTTTTTTTTGAAAATGCACTTATGGCCTAATAATTTACTTTTGGAAGGAAGATCTACTAGTTCTCATATGTAATTATTCATAAAATATTTAGTTTTATTATTGTCTAATTCCTTCTAATAAAAAGTTTCCAAATAGAATATTTCTTTATAGTAGATTCAAGGTTTATTTTTTGACAAGTATATTAAAAAATTAGGACCAGATAAAGAGGAAGAGTTGTTATTATGGAATTTTGTTTTGAATGTACTAGGTTGATCATTTGATGAATGGGTAAAGGATTAATAAGAAAAAATCCGAAAGAAAACATAGTTTTTTTTTTGACATTTTTGTTTAAAAGATAAAGGAATTGTATTGTAATAATAATTATTTATGTATTAACTTGATTGTGTAAAATGAAGTTAATGCAAGGGTAAAAAACATTTAATATTGAGTTATTAAAATTACACAGAAAATTACCAGAGGGGTATTGGGACAAGATCTAGTAGATAGAGGAATTGGATAGTAGTAATAATATTAAGGTTTAACTTATTGCGAGAATGATTCAATTATACTATAATATTATAAAACTTGAAGGGCTGCAAAAAGTAAAAAAAAAGAGAGAAGGTATTTACTATAAAAAAAAAACTGCTATGAACTAGTCATAAGTGTGTCGGTACAAAATAGAAATTTAACGTTGGAACTCGTTCATTTTTGTTGTAGGGTTTTAGCTATATGTTGCTGCTGCTGATGTGGTAGGGATTTAGATGGTTACAAACTGGTAGTTTTTACTGTAAATCAATCTTTCTAGTTATTTAGTTAACAAAAATGGGTCCTTTTCTGTTGCCTCGTCTGTCTTCCTTCCTTCCTTTATGTCTGTAATATCTTAATCTATGCAAATTCTTCTTCTATTCTCTCATTCAAATCATGCGGTTAAGAAGACATGGGTCACTCTGTCTTTTGTATTCTCTCTTTCAAATTACTTCCGGAAAGAATCTGAATATTCTTGGAATTGTATTTTCCCTCTGTCAATTAGTAAGTTCTGTAGCTTGAAAAGGAGAAGAGCGCAGCAAGCATGACCTCGCCTCTCTGTGTTTCCAGGATTAACATTAGATGTACAGAAAACAGAAGGTGTGGAGTCCTAAATCCAGAGCAATGATAGAAGCCTGGAAAGAAAGAAAGATGAAATAGTATAAAAACAAAGTCAAGGAAAATAGAAGTATAGACCTCAAACCTTCTGCAGAAGGAAAAACTAAGAGACCTAAAGATCAGTTCAGTAAAGGCTGCATTTGACTTTGAAATTCTGCCATTTGCAAGTCTCTTTCTCTCTCACACACATTTATGTATATTCAATGCACTAGAATAGGAAAGCACCCCTCAACCGTCTCTTAGAACTAGAATAGTACTGGATCCACCAACATCAACTTGCTATGGCACACGATTGTCCACATGCCTTTGATCCTGCCTATTGTATTGTGGGAGCATTATGGGAGTAGCACCGCCCCTTTGAATTGTAGCCATAGGCTGGCTAACTGCATTCAACAAAATCATGGCGGATGTGTTTTTTTTTACTGTCTACAAGTTGATTATCCATATGAAATACTCTATAAATTGTTAGTTTCCTAGCAACTTCCCATCAGCTATCAAGGGATATTCCTCATCTTCAATATGGCAATCAACATCATTCCTCTTTTCTTCTCCATCTTTCTTGTTTCATTTCAGCCCCACTTCTCCGTCGGCCAAACTGTTGTCAAAGGTGGTTACTGGTTTCCTGGTAGCGGCTTTGCAGTTTCTGACATAAATTCTACTCTTTTCACTCATCTTTTCTGTGCATTTGCCGATGTCAAACAGCCAAACATATCAAGTTACAATCTCATCTTCAAACCAAGCTCAATTCCAAACCTTCACCAAGACGGTCCAACAAAAAAACCCTTCAGTGAAAACCCTTCTATCAATTGGTGGAGGTGGCTCCGATGTAAACACATTTGCTTCAATGGCTAGCCAGTCAAGTTCTCGTAAATCATTTATTGATTCCTCTATCAAGTTAGCAAGGTCTAACAATTTTCTTGGCCATGACCTTGACTGGGAGTACCCTTCTGATTCTACATAAATGAACAATTTTGGCACCCTTCTTACTGAGTGGAGGGCAACTGTGGTCACTGAGGCTAAAGGTTCTGGCAAGACACCATTGATGTTATCTGCAGCAGTTCTTTACTTATCATATTACTACTCATCCTCGGTGACGTACCCTATCCAGGCTCTATCAAACAGCCTGGATTGGATTAATCTAATGGCATATGATTTTTATGGCCCAGGATGGTCTCCATCAAGCACGGGACCTCCTGCTGCTTTATACAATTCTGGGAATCTAGAAAGTGGAGACAATGGGATCAGGTCCTGGATTCAGGCTGGCATGTCTGCAAAGAAACTAGTACTTGGCCTTCCCTTTTATGGCTGGTCATGGCGTCTGACAAATTCGAATAATAATGGCCTTTTTGCACCGGCCAATGGACAAGGCCTAGCAGGAGATGGATCAATAGGTTACAATCAGATCAAGCAGTACATAACCCAAAATAGAGCTACTAAAGTATTCAATGTCACTGTTGTTACAGACTATTGTTACAGTGGAACTACATGGATTGGCTACGATGATACTCAGAGTATCTCCACCAAGGTTGCATATGCTAAAGGGAAAGGCTTATTAGGTTACTTTGCCTGGCATGTAGGTGCCGATGACAATTGGGCCCTTTCTTCTAAGGGTTAGTGTGGATTAGACTTGTGTACGTTGAAAGGGTAGTAGCTCTACCAAAAAACTTCATTGTTACAACAACACTAAGAAACATATATAGATGCAACTGCAGAAATTAAAGACTTTACACAGCACCATAATTTGTTCTTTGATTATCTGTCTAGTTCATGTCTTTCTGATATAAGATTCTTACCGTTGTGGCAGCATTGCAGACATGGGGAGCATAGACAAGAGCTTGTTCCTGATCAAATAATAACCAAGAGACAGAAACACAGAATGTTTCTTCGATCAAATATATATCCTTTGGCTTGTCCTTTACAGCAAAGTTAAAGAATTAAACATGTACTACTGTCATGCTTATTGTGTTATAAGCCCAAGTTAATAAATGAAACGGTTGAGAAACTTTTCTCTATTAATTAAAAAAAAGTGCATATATTATATTATTACCCCACTATACTAAATGACTTGAAAAACTTAAAAGAGCTGCTACTGGTATTGTTGTTCTTCATTTTCTACTTCTGTGGTCTCATCAGATGGTGAACTGACAATTGATGATTTTATTTGGCTCAAATTGTGATCATATGTAACTAATTTTGAGAAAAAGAAAGACTAAATTTCTATACCTATTATTTTTGAAAAGGAAGAGATGATTAATTTCTTTGACTTTATTGGTTATGGATTTTTCTAAACAGCGTCAGAAAAGATTAGGTGGCTGAAAAGTACACAGAAAACAAGATATTTAAGAAAATTACAAAGAAACCACCGCATAGTGAATCCGCAATTACTAGAGAGGAGGTAAACAAGACTTCTACAATACCATGTTGTTTTCGTGTGTATTTTTGAAATGCTAAGCCAAAGGAGCATGTATTTATAAATGTCGTGTTGAATTTTGCCTAAAGTTTGAAAAGTCTTCAGAAGTTTGTCACAGGGAAGATTAGCAGAATTATCCAATTGTTCCTGATTCATGCGGCTACCTGAATTAACTTTGACCAAGACACTATCTAGATTTGTCAAGAATCATTCTTCTAGATGGGTTTCAGACTTTCAGCTGATCAATTTGACCATGGCATCAATCACTGTTGTATCTTATCTGATTAGATGTTTCGTGTGAAAATGTCAAAGTTGGCTATATAATAGGACATTATTTAATTTGTAGAACCAGCTTTACATATCAAGCAAGACAGCTTAGCACCTCTGATCAAATATGGCTGCCAGAACACTTCCATTCTTCTTAACTCTCCTATTTCTGCTTCAACTCCACTCCTCAGCTGGACAAAATGCAGTTAGAGCTGGATACTGGTTTCCTGGTAGTGGATTTCCAGTTTCCAGCATCGATTCCACCCTTTTCACTCACCTTTTTTGTGCATTTGCTGATCTCGATCCCCAAACTAACCGGGTTATCATCTCGTCTGCAAACCAGGCTCAATTCTCTACCTTCACGCGAACTGTCCAACAAAAGAATCCTTCTGTCAAGACCCTCTTATCTATCGGTGGAGGAGCTGCAGATGAGACGGCCTTCGCTGGAATGGCAAGCCAAGCCGGTTCACGCAAATCATTTATTGACTCTTCAATCAATTTAGCGAGGTCTAATAACTTCCACGGCTTGGATCTTGATTGGGAGTATCCATCCACCACTACTCAGATGACCAGCTTGGGTCTACTTCTTGCTGAATGGAGAGTCGCTGTGGCCAACGAGTCTAGGAGTACAGGCAACACTCCATTGCTTCTATCGGCAGCAGTTTTCCGCTCATCAGATTATTACACCATCAACTATCCAATCAGAGCTATATCAAACAGCTTGGACTGGATCAATGTAATGGCGTATGACTTCTACGGTCCTGGTTGGTCAAATGTGACAGGACCACCTGCTGCATTATACAACCCTGGGACAACAAGGAGCGGGGATTATGGAATCACAACTTGGATCCAGGCTGGTGTGGCAGCTAATAAAATAGTACTTGGATTTCCCTTCTATGGCTGGGCTTGGACGCTTGCAAATGCTAATAACAACGGCTTTTTCGCACCAACTGTTGGACCCGCTATATCGAACGATGGCGACATCGGCTATGCACAGATCAACAATTTCATCGCTCAAAATGGTGCAAGCGCACTTTACAATTCAACTTTCGTTTCCAATTTTTGCTACTCTGGCACAACCTGGATTGGATACGATGATAAGGAGAGTATTTCGACTAAAGTCACCTATGCCAAGAACAGAGGATTGCTTGGTTATTTTGCCTGGCATGTTGGTGCTGATGACAACTGGGCTCTTTCTCAACAAGGTTAGTATGGATTTATCGGTAATTCAATTTCGTCCCGTCCCTTTAATTTACCTGCAGGGTTCTTCTAACAATGTATTAACACCATTGTTGTGGCAGCGGCATCTACATGGGGAGCATAGACACAAAACGCTGACAGGATAAGCATATAGGTATCAGTATCTGTATACAGAGTTATACACTATCTTAAGAAGACGAGTAAGCCATATTAAATAACCAATATGTTTCCATGATATCCTAATATTTACCTATGGAATAATAAATTACATATTTTTCCCAATTAGATTATCAGTTTCTACTTACTGAGGCAGAGTCGGCTGCCCGCAGCTCTCAAGACTTCCAATACTTGAACTGGATTTCTGTGATGATTTATAGCTTAGCTCCAAAAATCTAGGTGTGCTTTTTTATAGTTGAAAAGAATTATTAATTAAAAACAAATTAATAGAATTAAATAACGGGGTCCAAAGCCCGAAAGGAAAGAATCTACATGTGGTTGACACGAGGAGTAACATCCCCCATCATGTCACCATACGATAATAAGATAAACCCTACGTGTGATTTTTTTATCGAGTTCTTTTATAGTAAGTTGATGGCCAATCACGTTTTGTTTGTTAAGAATGTCTTGGTGTTTGGTTCAGAGACGTGGTTGGTCTTTTTTAAAAGATATAGTTATTTTAAAGTATAAATCATATCTTATAAAAACAAAAAGATATAGTTATTCTAAAGTATAAATCATGTTTTTTTATGTGGATTCCATTAAAAAAATCAATCATACATCGATCCTAAACACTCTCGTAGAATTAAAAAACAGGGAATCAAAGATGAAAAGGATAGGAAATCACCTGTCGTACAATTAAAAAACAGGGAATCAAAGATGACAAGGCTAGGAAATTAGGTGATGATTTAGAAGTTTTTGCAAAATGTTTAGGTTGGTCCTTATACTTTTTACTTTTTAATTTTTTAGTTCCTTTGGTTTGAAAATTTTAATTTTGATTCAAAACTTTATTTTTTTATTATTTTTTGGTCATAACTTGAGAAAAAAAAAAGTCGTTAGGTTTTGATAAAGAAGATAGAAAAAAATTAATTGGTGTTGATTTCAACCACGTTTAAGATCAATCATAATATCAACGATACTTATTCGATAAGAAAAGTTCTTTTAAGATCTTACTTATCCTTCATCTTGTTTGAGATGATAGATCCGGGCTTGATAAGGTTTTTTGGTTTTAGGTTAAATTTTGTTTTTTGAATAAATAATTTGCTAATTTAAACTCATATATAGATTTATTTAGGTTTTTATGGTGACTTTTTAACTATTTAAAGTAGTTTGTGATCGAATTAGAAGTGATGCATTATTTGTTCATTAGTAAAAAAAAAATTAGATTGAACGGACAGCATGTTGTATACCCAAATAAAAAAAAAAGAAGTTTAATAAGTAATCATATGAGCTTGCTCTTTATTTTAGGCCCAAGAGCTGGTTAATTAGGCATAGACTCCTTTTAAAAGTTTTTTAAAAAGAACTTTACTTAGATAAAATCAATGAAATTGTTTTATTTTTAGTCATGAATCAAAAAATTAATTTTTTAAGATTATTATTTTTTTTATTTTGAGCCCAAGAGTTGATTTATCAGGATATTTTTTTATCAATTAATTTAGATAAATATATATCATCTAATTCTAATATATCATAGTCTTATTACTTTAAAGTCACGTTGTTAAGTATAAATCAAAATTTGGACTTATAATTATTTTTTAAAAATATATTAATAATATTTTTATATATTTTCATAACTAGAGAAAAATTTTCTGACTTGCAGCGTAGTTGAGATACTAAATTAAGTTAATGATGAAGATTAGTCAACCAATTTGCTTAATAGATTGGTTGTTAATTTTTAAAGTATTACTATGTATATTGTTCATTTTTTTTATAATAGAAGACTTATAAATTTGAAAGTATTCGGAAAAAAAAAGGAAGGGTAGTTAACAATTTAAGCATAAGATCTCCAAATGAAAATACAAAATTTAATTCTTTGGGTCTTGTTTAGTATTAAATCATTAACCCACGATACTTCAAGTTAGATTAATTTTTTAATATAAAAAAATTAAATATTACTAATGTTTTTTAAATAAAAAATTAAATTATAAAGAGATTGACAAGATATAATGCAGTTCACTTAACAAATTTAAAAATAACCTGAAAAATTGATAAAAATCTAGCTTGATTGAGCAAAATTTTAAAATGATATAATTTTTTAATATTAAAATGAAAATATTTTAGACTGACTTGGTTCAATCAAGATTAACATGTCAAATCTACATTATTGGTTATGAGACTGTAATAATCTATAAAAAATAAATCAAAATAAATTATAAAATTAATTTTTCATAGATTCAATGTTGAAGGATAAAATTGAAAAAAAAATCAATTATAAAAAAAAATCTAAAAAAATGAGTTGGTTTAACCAACTAAATCAACAACTTATGCCATAAAATCGAGATAATCCTATAGAAAGTAAATAAAAATAAATTATAAATCTAATTCCTAGTCAAATCAATGTTAAATAATAAGATTAAAAAAATAAATTAATTAAAAAAAAATAAAAGAACAACTTAAGTTAATCCATCAAATCTATAACCTAAATCATGAGACCGAGATAATCTTATAAAAATAAAATAAAATAAAAAGAGCTAGTATATTCCGAGTTAATTTGTCCAACTAATGATCTTGGTCATGAAACCGAAATAATTTTATAAAAAATAAATTAAAATAAATTATAAAATTTAATTATCAACCGCTTTTATTAAATATAATATTGAATAATGAAATTTAATTTTTTTTAATAAAAATAACATAAAAATATTCAATTTAACCCGAATTAACATACAATTTATAAATCATGAGTTAAAATATCCTAATAAAAACAAAATATAAAGTAACACTATATCCATCTTTTGCAGCATCAAAATCTTTTTATGCAGGATATGTTGGGTAGAGTTCTACGAGGCAATGATCCATGTACCTGGAATAAGTAATCAAGGCAGAGTTTTCTGGGCTGCAAAGGACGAACATGGATGAAGAAGTTCAAAAGATTATGATAAATAGTTCAAGGCGATTTTAAAACATAGATTCAAGATCAATTGTATACAAATATTAGATTGCATGTATTCTTCTAACAATGTAGCTACTGATACCATGATTACTGTTGGCTAATATTAATAAAAAATTTATTTATTTTTGTATTTCAAAAGTATATTTTTTAAGGAATTTAATTTTTTTATTTTAAATTAATTTTCTTATATTTACATATAGTTAGTTTTGATGTATTGATGTTAAGAATAATTTTTTTAAAAAATATTTTTTAATATATTTTCAAACAAAAAAACTACTTTATAAAATAATCCTTATCATACTTTCAAATATTTATTAAAACTAAAACTAAAAATAAAAATAATCCTATTGGTATCGCCACCAAGCAAAATGAAAAAAGGCCACATGATTAAGGTTAGTATTTTGAATATATGACCAAGTCTTTGTTTGTAACTGTATCTTTTTCAAAAAAACTGAATTTCTTTGTTTATTTTTTTATATTTTTAGATTATTTAATATGTTGATGTTAAAATATTTTTTTAATTTTTTTATATATATTTTAAAAATTATTACCACATTCTTAAATAATTATAAATAATTATTAATTTAATTTTCAGCAGAAAATTATAAAGAGATTATGTTTATTTTAACCATAGGGTTTATGTTTATTTTTTTATTTAAATTTGTTTTAACTAATTGCTTTTTTTTTGGTTTTTAATAACTAATACCCATAGAACATTTCCACGGGCCCCTCTTTCCTCCTCTCAGCCCAACACTCAACTCAAACACAACCCGACCCAATATGTAAATCATATAAACGACGACGTTAACTCCTCTCTAATATAAAACATCCAAGCACTCCGGTCTAGGGTTTCTATCAGCGGGGGTTTCGTATCGGCTGCTTCAGTCTCCTGCCTCGAAGCCCCCATCTCGGGAAAATGGTTCTTTCCTTCTCCCCCCTCTATCTGTCTCTCCATGTTTCGGTGCTTGTGTTTATGATAACGGGCCTTACGTAAGTACTGATGTTTGATTCCATGTTTGTTTTGTAGCCGTCACACAAGACCTTCAGGATCAAGAAGAAGCTGGCGAAGAAGATGAGGCAGAATAGGTCTATCCCTCACTGGATTCGTATGAGAACTGATAACACCATCAGGTACTAAATCCTTCAATACTTTTTTTTTCTTCTTTTATTTATGTACTTATGTTATCCCTTTTTTTATCGTTCAAGAGATAAAGATTTTTGTGTTTTCGTTCTTTTTGTTGTTGTGAAGGTACAATGCGAAGCGCAGGCACTGGCGACGTACCAAACTAGGGTTTTGAGCTGGAATAAATCATTTGAAGTTCGAACAATTTAAGTGCTATGTAGTTTTTAATTTTTTCAGACTTGAATATCCAGAGGAATTTTTTTGTTGTGATTTTGAAGGGGTGGTTTATTTTTTTAGCTTGATTTTATATTTGAAGAAATGGTTTAGACCAGTTCAAGCTTAATGTGATGACCAGTTATTTATTTTGTGTTGTTTGCTTGTTGAGTTTGTTCATGCGGTAATTGCCCTGATCTCCATTATATTTTCATCTCAAGCAGGCTTTGATATCAATCAGTTTTCGGGTTTGTGATGTTTTCTAGTATCTATTTGATGGTCAATTCTACCAATGGAGGCTAGAATAAGCTGTTAATATGCTGGTGAAGTCTTTTAAAGAAGGAGGCAATGGGTTAGATTGTGGTTTGACAGAGGGTCCCAGATGATGATGAAAGTTGTTAGATTATTTGTCAGTAGGAAAATACAGAAGTTTGAATAACCTTAAAAGCTGAAGAAGGGGTATTTGGAAATGAGGTCATTGTGCCTGTCAAAAGAATTCCTTTGTTGTTGAAGTAGGCAGTGTTGAAATAGATGTGATGCTCATTGTTACTGCTTGGAAGTGAGCTTGAGGTTGCAGGACTTGGAGCAAGAGTTTAACGTTGTAATTAAGCTGAATAAGGGGTATTTGGAAATGAGGTCATTGGGCCTGTCAAAAGAATTCCTTTGTTGTTGAAGTAGGCAGTGTTGAAATAGATGTGATGCTCATTGTTACTGCTTTGAAGTGATCTTGAGGTTGCAGGACTTGGAGCAAGAGTTTAACGTTGTTATTATGCTATATTGTGGCTAGTCTCAATGGTTTTATTTGCAACTCCTGTCTTATGTTTTATTTCATCCTTTACGTTTTGGGTGAAATACATATAGAATGGATTAATTTATCCTAAGATTGTTCCTTTTTTGGTGTATAGTATAAAGAATTAGAAAGTAGTTAAGTCAACTGGTAGGAAGTTGAAGGAGTTTGTGCTTTGGATTGGTGTATTTCAGTTGTAGTGTTGGATCAGAATGTTTTCTGAATTACCTGTCAAGAGTTATTCAATTGGGTGAGGCATAACATTTGTGTGCTTGGCTTAGTTAGAAGCAAGATGAAACTTGCTCTTGTAATTTGGAATCTAGTCTCAAGATTGAGAAATAGGCGAATGATGGTATGAAATGCTACTGCATAAAACCAGAAATTAGTGCTAAGTATTTTTTTGTGAAATATAATTGGACAATCAAATGATGTTACGTTGATTGGTTGTAATAGCGTCAGAGTACTTGTACACTGTCTACATGGTGTTAGAAAATATGAAGGAAAGATTAATAATGGCTTATGAGGGCACTAAACTTGTATTCTGTTGTGGAATAATAAGATTTGGTCTGTAAAAGAGGAATAACAGAGTCCTCATCTTCATCTTCTTTGGCTTGGAGATATGATTTTTGGGATTGGAAGACTGTTGCCTGCTGCATGCGTGTTTTCTTATTGAAAATTTTTGCCTCGTTAATGTGGCTATATATAGGGTTGATTGTTCCTGGAAATGGTGGAAGTCCACTTCCTTGGATTTGGGACCCTTACTCAGCAATGGCCTCTTGAACTTGAAAGGGGATAAAGTTAGTGTACTCGTGAATTGTTCTAATCCTTGGATTTGGGACACCCTTACTCAGCAATGGCCTCTTGAACTTGAAAGGGGATAAAGTTAGTGTACTCGTGAATTGTTCTAATCCTTGGATTTGGGACACCCTTACTCAGCAATGGCCTCTTGAACTTGAAAGGGGATAAAGTTAGTGTACTCGTGAATTGTTCTAATCCTTGGATTTGGGACACCCTTACTCAGCAATGGCCTCTTGAACTTGAAAGGGGATAAAGTTAGTGTACTCGTGAATTGTTCTAATCCTTGGATTTGGGACCCTTGTACTCGTGAATTGTTCTAATCCTTGATCTGCGTCTTACAGGGTATGGGAATTAAAATGCAGAGTGAATTCTTCTTTTATTTAAGTTTTGCCTAAATGCGAGTGCTTCCACATGATGCTTGTTTGAAAGTATTTTGTTTACCTGTGCTCCTTATCTACTCAAGAACAGCCTTTTTTTTATATCATTTTCTGTTCTGTATTCTCATATTCTGTCGTTATGGCATTCTTATCTTAGCAAGAGGCATAAGCCCTGTTCGATTGATGCAAGCCTGTATTGATGGGAAGGAAAACATTATTCTGGCGATTTAGATTCTGCCCAGTTCATAACATGCTTCATTCTGATTGTGTAATTATGGATCATTTGGAAATTTGCGTACAAGTGGGAAATTGCATAATTCTGTTTGCTGCTGGGTGGAAGCTTAATAGCCAAAACAGTATATTCACAAATTTTCATCCAGAGGCCGATTATTGATGCATGCATGTGTCCAAAAACCCTCATGGATGTTACCAAAATAACAATGATAACAGAAATCTGGTTCTGAACGATTAGATTGGAAAACGAATGTTATTGAAGGGATAGGACGATGCAAACCCCTGTTAGTTTGAATACAACTGTAGTTTTCCATAATTTGAATGGCTGTCATTTTTTCTTATTTGCAGCCAAAGAATCCGTTTTTTGATAACTGTTAATCAATAATTTGCTTATGAATGTATGCATTTTCCCCTTTTATTGGGTTTAAAATCCACGAGGATGGTTATATGGACATGAATCATGAATGAGACAGTTCCTTACCATTCATCCCATAAAACTCTGAACCTCGTACTATCAAATCTTGACATGACATTAGAGTGATAATATTGACAACACTGTTTTTAAGCATTCTAATTTGTGGTAGTATTATTGGTACCACCAAAAAAAGTGGAAACTTTGGCATGCAAAAACCACAAAGGCAAAACAAAGAAAGCCGAATTACTCGAGCTTTCACTCCTTCAATGCAACAAGTTGGTTATAAAGCTTCTCTACCTTCAACAAAACAAAAAACCAAATGCTTGCTGTCTTCTTAAGGATAACAAACACATCTGATTTCTCTCCTCCTCTGTCATTTGTGTCTCCTTGATAGGCCAATGAAGGGTATATTTTCAGGCCTATTGAAGGAGACTCTCTGACCCCAAGAAATTGAAGTGGAGACATTTTCTTGTTTTGATCTTCTTGTTCGGTTTCATCTTTCATCATGGGCGACGTTTCTTTGGAACAGATAAAGAATGAGAATATTGATCTTGTAAGCATTTGTCTTCTTCACTCACACTTGTTGCTTCTCATTTCGATTTGACATGTTAAAGTTTCTAAAATCACGGAAAACAAAAATGTTTATCATAATGCTGTGTTTATGTTTGTGTAGGAGAGAATTCCTGTTGAAGAGGTTTTTCAGCAGCTAAGATGTACAAAAGAAGGATTGAGCACCGTACAAGGTGAGGAGAGGCTTAAGATCTTTGGCCCAAACAAGCTTGAGGAGAAAAGAGAGAGCAAATTCCTCAAGTTTTTGGGTTTCATGTGGAACCCTTTATCATGGGTCATGGAAGCAGCTGCCATAATGGCCATTGCTTTGGCTAATGGAGGAGGCAAGCCTCCGGATTGGCAGGATTTTGTTGGTATCGTTGTATTGCTTATCATCAACTCCACCATCAGCTTCATTGAGGAAAACAATGCAGGCAACGCAGCTGCCGCTTTGATGGCTGGTCTTGCCCCCAAAACCAAGGTAATTTTAGTCTAATCCTTGTTCATGCCTTCCGCTTTCATCAGCAGCTCCTGTATTATAGAAGGTAACTCATTGTTTCTAAAATTAAATTTGCAGGTTTTGAGGGATGGAAAATGGATGGAGGAAGATGCATCAATTCTGGTACCAGGAGATATGATCAGCATCAAGTTGGGAGATATCGTCCCAGCTGATGCTCGTCTCATGAAAGGAGATCCGCTCAAGATCGATCAGTCTGCTCTGACTGGTGAATCCCTTCCAGTTACAAAGCATCCCGGTGAAGGGGTTTTCTCTGGCTCAACCTGCAAGCAAGGTGAGATTGAGGCTGTTGTTATTGCTACTGGTGTTCACACCTTCTTCGGCAAGGCAGCTCACCTCGTTGACAGCACCAATAACGTTGGCCATTTCCAAAAGGTATTGTTTGCTTTCGTTTTGTTACATAGGATAATACAAGTTGATCGTTACTTCTAATTTATGACACAAGATATAAATTGGTCTTGGTCATATAAATCTCCTATATAATTCTTGCGTTTTGCTGGCACTCTTTTAATCAGGTGCTGACAGCTATTGGTAACTTCTGTATCTGCTCAATCGCTATTGGTATGCTGGTTGAGATTATAGTGATGTACCCAATCCAGCACAGGAGGTACAGAGAGGGTATTGATAACCTCTTGGTGCTTCTCATTGGAGGTATCCCAATTGCTATGCCGACAGTCTTGTCAGTGACCATGGCTATTGGGTCTCACCGTCTATCACAGCAAGGTGCCATCACCAAGAGAATGACCGCTATTGAAGAAATGGCTGGAATGGATGTCTTATGTAGTGACAAGACCGGAACTCTAACCCTCAACAAGCTTACCGTGGACAAGAGCCTTATTGAGGTCAGTGAGCTAAGCCAAATCATATAATTCTCAGGGAGATCTGGGTCACATGATTCTGTAAGTCTTAAGGTTCGGCACTCACTCTCTATATTGGTAATTATAGGTGTTTATAAAGGACACGGACAAGGATACCCTTGTATTACTCGCTGCTAGGGCTTCCAGAATTGAGAATCAGGATGCCATTGATGCTTCAATTGTTGGGATGTTGGGCGACCCCAAGGAGGTAAACAATTCAATCCCCTTTCTTGTGAACACTTGCGGTTCCTGTCATTCCACTTTAGATAGAAATTTCATGGATTCATTGAAATGGGAAATTTATTTTGCTTTCTTGTGATCTTTGCAGGCAAGAGCAGAAATCACCGAGGTGCATTTCTTACCCTTCAACCCTGTGGAAAAGCGCACTGCAATCACTTACTATGACAACAACGGTGACTGGCACAGAAGCAGCAAGGGAGCTCCTGAGCAGGTATGCATTGATTGGATGTTTTATCTGAAACTAGCTCTTATCTTGCGAGCTCTAACTTCCTATTTATATGCCAGATTATCGAACTCTGCAACCTAAAAGGGGAGACGAAGAAAAAGGCCCATGAAATCATTGACAACTTTGCCGAGCGTGGCCTTCGTTCCCTAGGAGTTGCTCGCCAGGTAGATAAATCCATTAATTTTCTTGCTACTCATCTCATATGATTCCTCAGAATATAGAAAGCTAGATGGACTTTCTATCTGAAACATTATTTATTTGATAACGTGTATTTTTTTCCCTGTTTATAGAGAATTCCAGAGAAGACCAAGGAAAGTGAAGGAGCACCGTGGGAGTTTGTGGGTCTCTTGCCTCTTTTCGACCCTCCAAGGCATGATAGTGCTGAGACTATCCGTCGAGCCCTTGACCTTGGTGTCAATGTTAAGATGATCACTGGTGACCAACTTGCTATTGGCAAAGAGACCGGCCGCAGGCTTGGGATGGGCACAAACATGTATCCTTCATCATCTCTCCTTGGTGATAGCAAGGATGAGAGCATTTCTGGCATTCCAGTTGATGAGCTCATCGAGAAAGCTGATGGATTTGCTGGAGTCTTCCCTGGTAATGGAAATTCTCATTTCAGCTTACTCAAACATACATACATACATACATATGTATGTATGTATGTATGTATGTATGTATATCTGCTGCTAATTTAAATATTTCACTTATGTGAAACTTTGAATGCAGAACACAAGTATGAGATCGTGAAGAAGCTACAAGAGAGGAAGCATATCTGTGGTATGACAGGAGATGGTGTTAACGATGCCCCAGCATTGAAGAAGGCAGACATTGGAATTGCTGTGGCAGACGCAACTGATGCTGCCAGGAGTGCTTCAGATATTGTCTTGACAGAACCAGGATTGAGTGTTATTATTAGCGCTGTATTGACAAGCAGAGCCATCTTTCAGAGGATGAAGAACTACACAATCTATGCTGTTTCCATCACAATTCGTATTGTGCTGGGATTCTTGCTTGTTGCACTTATTTGGAAGTTCGACTTCTCGCCATTCATGGTTCTGATCATTGCTATTCTCAATGACGGAACCATCATGACCATCTCCAAAGATAGAGTCAAGCCATCTCCTGTGCCCGACTCATGGAAGCTCAAGGAAATTTTCGCCACAGGCGTTGTCCTTGGAACTTACATGGCAATCATGACTGTGCTGTTCTTCTGGCTTGCTCATGACACCGATTTTTTCCCTGTAAGTCAATCACTCAAAATGTCTCGTATCAATGATGTTTAGTTGATTTTTTTTTCCTAACATTTTAATGTCTGCAGGAGAAGTTTGGCGTGAGGACAATCAGAGGTAAACCAGATGAGCTTACAGCAGCTCTTTACCTTCAAGTGAGCATCATCAGTCAAGCGCTCATCTTTGTAACCAGGTCAAGGAGCTGGTCCTTTGTTGAATGCCCTGGTCTCTTGCTTGTCAGTGCTTTCATTGCAGCACAGTTGGTCAGTATTTGTTCTATTCCCTTTCGTTTTCCCTTCTTATCTCAACTTCTATTTATCTACTGTAAAATATTTTTTATGAGTTGAATGACGATGATATGTTGCATTAACTTGCAATACTTCTCCAATGAAGGTGGCAACTCTCATTGCTGTGTATGCAAGCTGGTCCTTTGCAAGAATCGAAGGCATTGGGTGGGGATGGGCAGGAATCATCTGGCTTTTTAGCATTATCACATACATCCCTCTTGATATCATCAAATTCATTATTCGCTATGCATTGACTGGGAAGGCCTGGGATAACATGCTACAAAACAAGGTTTCTAAACAATGAAAACATCGACTCTTCGTTGAATTCCTCTCATTTCTTTCTTTTGACTAATTGCATCACCTTTCTGCCCCTTTTATAAATCAATTCAGACTGCTTTCACAAACAAGAAGGACTATGGAAAGGGTGAGAGGGAGGCTCAATGGGCTACTGCTCAACGTACTCTTCACGGTCTTCAACCTCCAGAAACCATGTTTAATGACAAGACCACCTACAGAGAGTTGAGTGAGCTTGCAGAGCAGGCTAAGAAGCGTGCCGAAGTAGCAAGGTAAAGTATTTAGCTTACACATACAACGACAGAGGTCCCTCTCATAGACACATGCAAATACTATAACTTAACCTTCTAAAAGGGCAGGCTACCTTGAATTTGTTATAACAACATGACAACCACTAAGATTTAAGCTAGCTGATGACATTCCGTTTCTTCACTTGTCTCCAATTTCTTTCCTTGAAGGATACAGTGCTTATGAATCGGGGTTCATTTTGCAGGCTCAGAGAGCTTCACACGTTGAAGGGACATGTTGACTCAGTGGTTAAGATGAAGGGACTTGACATTGAGACCATCCAACAACACTACACAGTCTAAGGAAATAAAAGAGATGTAGAAAGAAGCACATGCAAGTATGATAGAGACGGAGTTCATAGAGAACAAACAAGAAAACTAATGTCAGAGCTGTTTTTTCCTGTTTAACATTTCATTTATTATTTATTTAAATTATAGGAGGGGATCTTCATATATATATATATGATATTTCCACCTCTTGCATGTTTAATTCGCACATGCAGCAAACAAGCAAATTTTCCCACCACTAGTATGCCATAAATTCAACACATTTTTGTTCCTTGTTTTTTTTTTAAAAAAAAAAAAACAGTGAGGGTATTTCAAACCAACTTTTATATAATAGATTATTTCCCCCTGAAATAGTTCATCAAATAGTTACATACCAGCCAACTTATATGCTGAGGATAGGATAAACGTGTAAAAAACAATATATAGATTTTGCTAAGATTTTTTTAACATCATGAAATTTTTTTATTGAAAAATAAAAACTTGATTTTTATATTTAATAAAAAAGTATACAAGTCAATAAATATTAAAAAAATTTATTAATACTAACTAAAATTTAAATGAGAAAGGTGGAAAATAGATGTAAATTAAAATATATAATATAAAAGATAAATATAAATTAATTAAGATATATAATCCAATGCATAGGAGTAATTTAGATTTTTTTATTAATTACATGATAATATTTTTTTAACAAAAACTAAAAGCAATCATTATATATATATAAAAGGGGTGTTTAGAAAACATGTCATTTTTAATATTTATATTATCCGATCTAATCTAACCCGTTAAAGCTAGATAATGTGAATATTATATGTAATACTGAGTCAAAAAAATATAATAAATAGATATTATAGGTTAAATGTAAGTTGATATTTTTAAATTCCAATCAACCCAACTTAATTTATATAACTTAATATGAAACTTAATTTATATAACTTAATATGAGTAACCTTATTTTTAATATAAATAATATTTTTTATTCTCTCTCTTAATTTTTTTCCTCTCTCACTTTTACACTCACAATCGACTCTCTTCACTTAATCTTTTTCTCTTCACTTCAACTTTTTGTTCTTAATTATTTATCATTTTTCTTTATCTTTAGGATAGTAAAAGAATAATAAAATTAATATGCTCAACCCATAAATATTTTTAATATCCATAAAATTTTTAACCAACTTGATATATCCAACTCACTCGAGTACAAAAGAAGAATCAAGTTTATATTATATAAAATATCAAAAGTTTAGTTAAATACAATTATGGGTCAAAACCCAACCCAGTATATCCATAAACACCCTTAGAAAAATGATTAAAAAAAAATCTCTTTAATTAAAACCATTTTATCTTATTACTATTTTTTTTTCATTTTTTACCTGAGTATATTTTTTAAATAACAACTTACTAGAACTATAAAAGCAAGTTTAAGAAATTTTTTTTCATAACTTTGATGTTCATTGCATTTTTAAAAAATTATGTAATCGCATTAGAAAGATTATGTCAATCCCTTTCAAAGTAAACTGTGCAATCACGCTAAAAAGTACCAAGTTGATCTCTTCCAAGTAGGGGTGGGTAAAAAAACTAAAAAAAATAATTGAAAAAACTAAACTATAAAAAAAATTTGATTAGAATATTTTAAAAAATATTCGGTTTGGTTCGATTTCGGTTTCATAAGCCTAAAACTAAAAAATCCAACCGAAAAATAAAAAAACCAAACCTAAAAAAATCAAATGAAATTAAACCAAACCCATTTAAAAAGTCCCAAAGAAAACCTAAAAAAAAAATAGTTTATGGTCTTTAATATAAAATAATTGAACCAAACCGAAATCGAACCAAATAGTATCGAAACTGGTCGATTGGGTTTTGATTTTTAATATAAAATAATCGAACCAAAACTGGTCAGTTTGAACCGGTTTTATTTTAGTTTGATTGTTTTTAAAGGTAAAAACTAAATCAAACCGAACCGAAAATGATCACCCCTATTTCCAAGGTAAATTGTGCAATCGTAATAAAAAGAATGAGTTCATCTCATACTTAGAAGACTACGGGTTGTTTCCCTAGGGCATCACTTAGATAAAAATAAAAACATTATTATTTTGAATAAATCAATTAATACACAAGAAACTTATATACTTAATCACTAACTATGATGTATTTTATTGCCTTTTAAAGTATAATCAACTCGATGACTTGAACATCTACTTTCTACTAAGATCATGATCTTAGTTCTATAGGTGAGGAGAGAATAAATTTCTCTATTATATTTTTTTAGGTGGTTGATTCACTTTATCTAACATAGTTGTTTAAAAAACTTTGCATGTTTTATAATTTGAACCAACTCTGCTTATACTTGTAGAAAGCTTTTAAACTCTCAAGGTTCCAATAACATTTATAAAGTAGACAAAAATATATAGCCTGAATGTACTTGTCTCAAGAAAATTCCCTAGTGAAATAAAAGAGATTATATTTTGACTTAAGAAACAAAAATGCTACATAACCTTTCGATTCTCTTGTTGTAAACAATATACATCCAATATTTATGGTAGATCATGTCTCTCAAACTGATTTGGAATATTCTTAATCATTAAAGTAGTTTTTTATACTAATAAACTTTTTGATACTATCAATAAGATCATAAGAATGAACATCATCCTTTTATTAGTGATGTTATAGCTTCATGAAGTTTTTCTTGACTGATATGCTAATGCTTAAAAATGATACAAATTTAATACAGAGAGCACTAAAATCCATAATAGACGCTAGTTCTCGTTTATTGGGCTTATGGAACTTGACAATTCTCTTAACTAACTAGCACCTCAATAAGAAGTCAAACTTGATTGATGAGTTATTGATGCTCTGATAAAGTAGTTATGCCAACAATCACAAGGAGGTCCACGACACAATTCATTCAAAGTGTCTTGATTACCAACCATTAATATCAATAAAGGATGTCAAAAACTAATTGTTGGCTTTTTTATTAGTTTCCCATAGATATCACCTTTGATGACGTTTTGAAAAATTTAAGTAGCTTAAGAACAAGAGTTAAGTGTTGGATAATCGAATAATTTCTTGATATTTGCAATTTAATCCATTCTCCCTAACTAAGATAGTTGGTGCTTGATGCCTAGTATTTGATAAGACAAGGTGGCTGATGGCCGATAACTACAAAAGGTTTTTTTAGTAGATTTAGAAACTGACCAATACTGAAGTGTCATTTTGATAGAAAAGACAATGATAATTTAAAGAAAGATTATAAAAATAAATATGTAATAAAAAGTTGAGATTGTGAATCTTGAAGAATTTATAAGGTCTTCAAATCCTATTAATTTTGTTTTTCTGTGGAGATAAAAGTTAAAGTGTTATTTTGTCCTGATATCATTATTAAAAAAAAAATCTCATGCACATGTATTAAAAAACATACATATCTTTTACATATTATTAATAAGGAATAAACGACAAGTTCTTTTGAAAACTTTTATACATTTACAAGTATAGATAGATGAGTACTCTTGATCTTAACATTTTATATTATAGGTCATAAGAAAAAAAAAAAAGTCTTATACAAGGAGCCTGAAAAGATAATTGGTTTTATATTTTTCTAAGCTTAGTAATATGTTAAAGCTTAGCAATATTAGTGTGACAGACTACTAGACCCATAAATTTTAAACTTAGTACATAATTTAATTTAAAGGATATTAAATCTAGTAGTTTACTAGATCTATATATACATGAAATTAATATATTATTTGAACTTAAAAATATTAAACCTGTTGTTTAATATATATATATATATATATGGAATTAGCGCATTTTCCTTTTAATTTTTAACATGTATAAAAAACGCTAATCTATCATAATAATAATAAAATAAATAAATAAATATAAAAGGGAAGCGAAGCGTTTACCTTTAAAATAGAGAGGGAATGAAGGTGAAGAAGACCGTCTCATCACATCGTATGGTAAAAACTTAAATTTATTTTTCTTGAAATTAATTTGTTTTAAAATTAGCTTTTCTATCGAGCTTTGTACAAAATCTTGTTTTGCTCCCCTCCCTTATCTCCATCGAACGAAGTTTGCAATTTGTAGCCATTTATATCTGGAATTGCAACATAAAAGATTCATGATCACCCTCAACCAGACTTATCAGGAGAAATTATTCCCATTAATCTTTTAGCTGTACAATTTATTGCCTTGTACTTGATCTGTTCAAGCTCAGTTCATTAGCTTATTAGTACCTGTTAAATATAATTTTAGAAATGTGGAAGGGTTGGCTACTGGGCAAAATATAATTTAACTCTAGTGTCAGAACATTCTAGATGGAAGAGGAGTCTCCAACTCAGTTTAATACGCCCGATAGTTAGAAAGGAAGAAGCAGTGTTCCCGGAAAATATGATGGAAATGTGTCCAGGAAAAAACAAGTCTAAACTGCCACCTTTCAAAAAATAATTTACAGAAATACACACAGCCTCCATTCACTTCTGCAGCCCTGCCACTTCTAGATTTGCATATGCATATCTTGAGGGGTACAGCTTTTAACCATACTGTTGCCATCAAAATGCATGAATCATGCTTTAGCTGTTAACTTCCCATCACTGAACAGCGGCTTCTCATAATTTGCTTACAATCATGAACAGCATAGATTATACTTTCCGGACAATAACACGCCTTTCATGCTTATATTCTATTTCATCCCTTTGGTGCATTACTATTAGACACTAATATGTATGGTATCTATGATCTCAGATCTCAGAGAGAGAAACCTGCTCCTTGCAGGCTTAACCAGGAGATGCCTAATCCATGGAGATCATAACAATGTGGGTCTGTTATAAAAAGGACAGCAGTCAGGCTAACAGGTGTTTTCGGGCATCAGGCTTTGAGAACTTGAATAGGTTACAGTATGATTTTCAGTAAATCACATTAACAGATATGTAAAGTAAGAAGCAACTAAATGGTATTGAAATTAAATGCTTACAAGTGATTCATTCATTCCCATTCTGGCAAGTTCATCAATCAGCTTTCTTTCTGATATGCGCATACCAATTCCCAGTCTTCTCTTTATCTGAGTTTCTGCTTGCTGTTTGTTAAGAAAAAGAAATCATTAAGCAGGTGAGTGACAGACAACAAACCAAGGAATATCAGAATAGGTTGCTGAGAAACTCATGACTGACAGAAAACAGAACAAAGGGTAGCAATGTCATTGACAAACCTTTATCTCAGGAGTAGGAGTCACTTGTTGATTTATTCCCGACTGTGCTGCTTCGACAGTAGACACCTTAAAAAGATTTACTGCTTCAATAACATCCGCCTCAGTGGCAACATGGGACCTAATTAAAAGTTCATGAATGAGTGGCAAATCAATATACCAAAATAGAGACAAAGGGAAAATAGTAAAAGAAGCACGCAAATCTGTTTCAGCATGCTCTCAAACTTGTCAACTTTAATAAACTGTACTTACAATTTCATTTTTGCAAGAGCCTCACTCAATCTTATGATAGCTTCCAGCTGCCTTACAGTAATGGGTACAGCAAAAGCCTCCCCAGTTTCATTTGCCTGCTTTCTCATATCCTAACCAAATTTCCAGATTGATAACTATCAGACTAACAGCCAAGCGTTCTTACCACATACACATGGTGATAATGCATAAATAATTTAAAACCAATTTTCAAAAGAATTGCTTTGCAATGTTGGTGATTGGCTGGCCAATAATCAAGTCAATTTGTGTAATTAGATCTGGGCAGTCAGAACTAAATCTTGGAAGAGCACGTGGACTGGAACAAGTGTGAACACCGAGTTTCACAGAAAATGCATCTAATTTTATCCTCAGAAAATCAAATAAATGGCAGCCTTTTCTAGAAAAGAACTAAAAAAACAAATACCTGTCTGAATCTGACTTACTCATTTTGCAATCTACTGGATGCATACTCTGACAGCCGGGGATGGCATTCAGTTCGAAAATATTGTATGTACCTATGAGAGCCAAAACCTACATCGTTTAGCTTCTCATGGTTTCCACACCAAAGAAGGATTGTGAAGAGCATATTCTTGAGTTTGAAAAAAAGACAACTTTTCAGCCAATTCTCTTCTTTAGCATTTCTGCTATCACCCGAGGTTTTATTAGCAGAAGCATGAACCTTGATGATATGGCTAGCTATAATCTGTAACAGAAGATTTTTGGTTCAACCATTACATGGACTCACAGGAGTTTGGAATCGACAAGAATGCATGTGATACGATAGCTGTTCTTTTTCAAATCCATCAAAATGAGCCTTCTTGATTGGTGAGAAACAATCATATTTAGTTTTCAACATATAAACACGTAATTTTATGATTATATGGTCTGTCTTTAAATCCATCAAGAAACATAATGGAATCAATACATTTCCTTGAAAAGCAAAATATCAACTCACGTGAAAATGCTTCAGATGAGTATGCAAATTACCTTATCTCGACCACAGTCTCTTTTATCCTTCACAATGAAGATTAAGTCAAATCTAGAAAGAATTGTTGCCTGTAAATCGATATTCTCCTGTGCAGTCTGGAAGGAGAGCAATAGTAATATTATCTTATGCCATCAAAATTTTGCTGTGAGAAATTGGCAAAAATGAACGAGAAACCATAGCTACTAACCTTGAGATCATCATAACGACCTGATGGATGGTTGGCAGCTGCAAGCACTGATGTCCTAGAATTGAGTTGTTATTCCTGCTTTTGCAATGGATATTGTTTGCTGCTCCATGGCTTCGTGAATAGCCAATCTGATCCACACAGACAAAATCTTAAGCATCCCCCAGGAAACACAATTGGTGAGGTGCGGCATTATCTACTTTGAGTTCAATTACCTATCCTCTGGCCTCATTTTGTCAAACTCATCAATACAGACAACACCTCCATCAACCAAAACCATGGCTCCTCCTTCAAGATAAAATTCACATGTTTGTGATTTTAGTTAGAAGACTTTCATAGTGATATGAAGGAACAATATTGACTAACTAAAAAATACACTACATCTAAAGCAATGAATGAAAAAAAAAATCCTACTTCTATACATGCCAAAGAAGATTGAGAACTTACTGAGCTGCTATCTCATATAACAGAAGCCGTAAGACCAGCAGCTGATGAGCCTTTTCCAGAAGTATATACTGCTACAGGAGCAGTCTTCTCAACAAACTTAAGAAACTTTACAAGCAAAGAAATTCTAAATCAGAACCTCACTTCACACACACAAACAAACAAACACGCAACACACAAAGCATGAACTTTTAACATAATTAACATTTTCCATGCTAGACAAAATAAAACAGTGGAGATTGGAGAAATCCTTTCAGTAGAAAGACGTAGAAAGATGCATAAATGAGATCACAACGCCACATCCCACAACTTCTAAAGAGCTCTTAACGCAAAAATCAACCACATATAGAACTAACCTGTGATTTAGCAGTAGATGGGTCACCCAAAAATAACACATTAATATCACCTCTCAACTTCACCCCACCTGGCAAATTCTGCACTTACAACACAATTGTTCAAACATCAATAAGCAACATACAATCAACTGATTGAGTTTCAAGATATGTACCTTTCTCGATCCTCCAAATAAAAGACAAGCCACAGCTTTCTTCACATTCTCTTTTCCAAATATAGAGGGAGCAATCTTGGAGCATATGACTTCATATACATCTGTTCTCGAGGCAAATTTTTTGAATTCTTCTACCTGCACATGGTACATAGAGTCACTTGTCCACCAGAATCAGTGCCCAAAACACAACCAAGAGGTTTCCTAGCAGCAAGGAAATTGGTTGCGGCAAGGCAGCATAGAGTTTAAGCCAGAAAAAAGCAAAAAGAAGGGCATGCCCTAGTGATAGAAATTTTGCTAGGTAAATTTAACTTCCTATCTATTCTCAAAATAAGCAGCAGGAGAAAAAAACTTCTGCCACGCATGTCATACTCTAACCAAGTTAAATAACATGTCTCTAGAAACCAGCCATGCATGAAAAAAAAGTAGAGCTGTAATCTATCATGAAAGACAAAAAAGTGGGCGCTGAAAGTTGTTCAAGCAGTTTTAAACGGTGATTTCTAATTCTACCTCTTCTTTTGTGAAAGCTGCATGACCTCGAGTACTGGCCTCGTTTACTTCTTCTATTCCAACTACCCTGATATAAGGTTGCCTCACTGCAACTGCTCCTCTATTGCTGCACGGAGTTGAACCATTAACAACAATTCAATTACCATCAACCAATACGCATAAACATGGAGCTTCAAAACGTTCATATGAAGTATAATCATTCTTACGAGGCTGATGAATTGGCTGCTTGAAAGATGCTATAAATCCCTATGATGGTCAATCACGTGCCAGGTACAATTCTTTGAACAAGATGCCGATCCACGGAGAGAAGCATGTTTCTTGGAAGCTCTCCAGTAGGGACATCCTGTAACATCAACATAAACACAAACCAGTAAAAAAAAAAGAAAAGTTATTTAACTCAACACCACTATTCAGTTTACTCAAATCAAGATTATTACCTCTGGATTTTCCTGCAATTTCAAGGTTTGCTGATCAACATACTTGCTCTTGTCAGGAACCACAATCCAAGGATCAATGGGGCAAGGTTCTTCACCAGCCTGCACAAAATCCCTTTAAAAATGAAACTTTGAATCATAAAACCAAGAAATGCAAGGAGTCTAAGCAAAGGGTTGAGATAAACCTGAGGAACATGGTCGCACGAACGAGGCACAATTGCCCCACCAAGGCCTGGACGACATGGTACTTCCCTTGTACTTTGACAATTCTTACACACTAGACTCACATAAGTTGCCTTTGCCTCTTAACCCTTGAAGCAGCTATGGTAATCCCAGCTATCTTGATCAGCTTAGAAATATCTTGAGCCTACACACAGAAGACGGGAATTAAAACAAGGAGTATAATACACATGTTTCCAAATCCATAAAGATTTTAATCTAAAAATTAATAGTGATAAAAAATAAGAACCATACAAGCTAAACTGTTCAACGTATTGGAAATGAAAAACAATTTCTTTCCTAAAAAATCAAACACAATATATTTATTTATACATCAAGATTTTAACTGCTAACCCCAAGCATTCGCATTGAAACAGGATCCTCCTTAGAACTCAACAAAATCTGCACTTCTCTTGTCTCCGGTTCCTTCATTTCCCCACTCTCTCCTTGTTCCTTCAACCTCAAACCCTGCAACACCTCCGCTGCCGCAGTCTCAAACTACAAAGATACCCAGAAAAAAAAATTAGACAAAAAACAACTCTGCATAGATCTCACAGATGCGACAGCGCGTGTTTTCCACGTAATTCATAAACGCGCCTACCAAGGGCAAGTAATCGGAGGGAGAGGAGCGGAGGAGGGAAGGAAGCTCAGCATCGAATGCGAGGACATCTTCAAGGTGGACAAGGAGAGATTTAGGATTATTAATGAGACTTTCACGGTATGGGAAAACATTTTTATCAGTCTCCAAGTTTCGTATGAATTCCTTGAATTTACGGAGGATGGTGTGGCGGCTTGTAGTTGCAGCCGCCGCATCTGTTCCGGGTTTAGGGAACTCTTGAATTTACGGAGGATGGTGTGGCGGCTTGTAGTTGCAGCCGCCGCATCTGTTCCGGATTCAGGGAACTGCGCCTGATCGCTGTAGTACACCGCTCCTTCGTCCCACCCTGACATCTTGATTTTTCTCTAACTCAAACAGTCTCCCTCCTTCTCTTCTTTTCTCTGCGTGTGTGTGAAGGCACTGGGGAGGGTAGGGGTTAATTCGGGGAATTTAAGAAGGGATGTTTTGGTGCAAATATTTGGCGGGAAATTGGCGTGTGACACGTGCCTGTAGCACACCTGTATTCTCTGACTTGGGAGAGATTCGAGACGTGCCGTTCTGTTGCTAGACGACTTGTTGGCTTTCAAAAGGACCAGTTCCGAGTTTTCACACGACATGCCGTTCGTTAGTGTTTGATTTGTTTATCATGTCAAGAAAATAGCATAAATTTGTAAGCTAATCGAGAAAATTACTAAAGGAAAAGGAGAATAAAAAAATTATTTTCTATATTTAAATAAAGAATAAAGTGCATTTCAGTATGTTTTAAGCTTCGATACATTCAGCACAAGATTACTTGCCCATAATATTTAAATCATAAAATGTATTACATTGAGGATCATGCATAGATGTTTTCTTTTGCATGGAATTATAAATCTATGGAGGGGGAGGACATGGCATCCCTTTTCTGTGGTTTGGTTAACACGTGAATACACAATACATCGCCTTGTAGAAACCCTACTGGTTTTTACATTATCCACTAGGAATGGCTGACCAAACTCCACTGGATCAGTCAAGGTAGCAGCATTATTCTACCCTCTGCACTTCCAGATTCTATGTACATCATATATTGCATCTCTGTCAGTTTCCTGTATTGATCTCCTCGGCAACCATGGAAATGGTCTCTTCGGGAAAGATCACTCTTAACCTTGAGGTTAAATTCAATCTTTAAGTCATTTCATTTCAAGACAAGTAGCGTTGATGTTTCAAGTACCAGAGTGCCCCTTCTGCTGCATCCTCTGCTGCAGCTTTCTTTTTCATCCGAGGAGACCCAACACATTCAAAATTCATTTCTGGTGCTTCTTCTATTTCCACAACCACCTTGTAAGTGAAGCTGCAAATGCATGAATTCAGCATGTTAAGACAAGGTCCAATTAATTCAGGAAAAAGGAGGTCGTGCCTCTACAAAGAATAGCAAGCTACGGGACATGACACACAGGACTGATGAATTTCCATGATAGATATATTTCGCTGCCAACAAACAGTGAAACAGCAGGAAAAGAAAGGGGAGAGAAGAAGAGACTGTGGTTGGGGGTCATGTAATTTGAATGAGATTCCAAGGGAAGGAGCATTCCATGAGATGCTACTTCGAACTTAAAAACAGCCCACGAGAATTTCCCAATGTTGGGTACCACTTGTTCGTGATGGGCAATTTAATCTGACCTCCATCATCTCATGTCATGCACAAACTGTCTGATTCAACAGAAAGGGGAAAAACTCCTCCAACGAATTCTCATTTATGACATGCATATAACCTAATAGTAACTAAGTCGAAGAAAAAAAACTCAGTCTTTAAAGTTTAAACCTATAACTCTAATTATTCAATGACATAAAAGTTCTCAGTGCAAACAGTTTTCAAGATATATAGGTCAAGATTCACCAAAAAAAGAAAGATCAGACTTACGACTTTAAGTGACTTGGTCCTTCTTCAGTGCAGCATTCAAACAAAGGAGGTTTCCAACTGTTAGCCGCACAGATTTCGTGCAAACGAGATCTGGCTGTTCCAAGGTCTACTTTACCTGAAAAAAAATTGCAAATGTCAGAATCTCTGTACTTGTAGGCATCCTGCAAGTATGATAAACATGGCAAACCTGTGATATGCACATCTCTGTCACTTCTAAGATCTCCAGTAGTCTCTCTGTGCTGCCTTCCAGTGAAATCTAATGGAGATAGAGACGAAGCATCAACAGCTTCAAAGCGGGGTGGACAAGAATTTCTCACTTCATAGCTGCAATTGATGTCAAAAGGTTCCTGTATCTTCGAGTTTTCAAACACAGGGGCATCAAGAGCTACATCTATAGGAGTCTCATCATATCCTATCAATTTGGCTTCCATCTTCTGGCTATTCCTTAAAACCTCCTCCAAAGAATTAGTCATTGGTATGAGGCCTTGATCCTGCATATCAGAGGTAATATGACCTTCAGAAAATGAAGTTGGATAGAGGACACATTAAGAAGATCAAATAACCCCTTTGTGCATAGTGGCATAGGTGTCAGGTGAAGCATAGTAATGGTTCAATTAAAAGCAGCAATAGATTCATGTGTGCACGAGTCCATGTATTTAGCACCAACTTGTTTCTTATTTTAAGGAATCACATATCAAATTTTCTTAGATCTACACCATTGTCTTGCAATTTTGAGGTGCAATTCCTCAATCTCTGGTGACTTCAAAAGCAAAGCAAGCATGTGTTAGGTGACACTCCAGAATATGATTTTATATTACTCTCTAACAGCTTTCCTAGTGCATATATCATTAACTAGAAGCCTCTCATCTTTACAGGAGTCATAAATTTATGTAATACCATGCTAAATGCTCATAAGCAATATTTAGAAAACAAATGCAAAACAAAAGCTCATTTATACAGCAAACGTGCATATTCCAATGCTAAGCACTGCTTCTTAAATTGGATTTGCAGACAAGTGATTCTGGAAGTGGACTCTGTTGTTGAAAACGTGGATCACACAGAGCATGCAACAATAATTAGCAATTTGCTAAATATATGTTGGACTTAAAGAGTAACGGGTTTCTTAATTTGGGGTTCCATAATTAAATAGCATAAAAGCTTCCAAACATTCAATCAGTTGAACAAAAGAATGCTCAGGACTTGAAAAAAAAAATAATAATAAAGAGTTTTCCTATTGTCCATCATATCTCCTCCCACTCCCAACACCTCAGTTTCCAAATGTTCTTTAGTTTAAACATTCTTGGCAGCTTTAAAAAAATAGTCAGAAGAACTGACATTACTTTGTTAGCATTTTGATGGAAAAACATGATTTTACATTAATTATTTAACTTTACTATAAATGGTGCCAGGAAATTGTTCTTTAAGAAAAATTTATAACTTAAAGTATCTGATTCAGTTGATAATCTCAGAGCAAGAATTAGTAATTTCATAAGGTGATGAGCAGGTAAAAAAGATCCACAAGTATACAGGTTTTACCTTCAGCCTAGCATATATTTTTTCTGAAGCCATTCTAATAGCCTCTTTTTTATTTGAGTTGCTCGCAGAAGCAGATATGTTCATATCTTTACCACTCAGTGTCACATCAACTGAAAAAGTCCTGCCCTTCTTCGATGCTGGAACCTCAAAGTCCCAATTATGAGACTGGCAAAGTTCTTTTAATTCCCTCACAGGATTTATCTGCAAATTGGAAACTCTTGTGATTGGATCCAAGAAGGATAGCATTATCTTCCAGATGCGGTTCAAATCAAATCCCGTGTCAAGAAGAATGGCACCCACAGAAGACTCTACCAAATCACCAAGAACCTGTATTGGTAGCAAGATTATACAAAATTCAGAACTCCACTAGAATTGTAAAATGAAAATCCATATCAATAAAATATGCAGTATTAACAGAGCTCTAGCTGCTCTCACTAGGCACCACTAATATTCCTAACTTCAGAAATCTTGTCATCGGATATTGAACCTCAATATTCAAATGGTTTTGCCAAAATTACCATTTCATAATAAGTATATTACATGATAACTTAAATAACAAAAAAAATCTTGTCATCGGATCCCAGTCCCACAAAGTGGAGTAGAGGATAAGCATGAAAGAGCAAAGCACAACCCTCTAAGAAAATGTGACACATTTTCCAATTATAAGAACCACCACAAAACACATATGAAAGCAGCAAAGCCAAAGAACCAAAAGCATAGCAGTTCCATAGAAACTCCTTTTCCATCACTGGGACCTTGCTCTCAAAATCTTCAGTCCCTTTTATCTAGACACCTTAATTCATGCTTGACAATTCTTTTAGAAGAGTTGATTTCCAAACCCAACCAAGGATTTGGAGAAGCAAATTGGTCAGACGGCAAGCAAAGGTTTTTTCCTGTCCAACCTCACCTGAACTCAGGTTAAAAAAACTTGTTCCTTTGTCTTCTTACATTGCTGTTTTCAATCATGATTCGGAGACTTGAATGTTTTCTGTAGTGAAAACTGGGAAAATATTCAAAGGGAAGAAGTTCCATCAGGTTGCCAGCATATGATGTGTTACTGAGGCCTCTTATCTTGTTGATGATGCATGACATGTTCATCAAATATTAATTCAGTTCTTAATTTGCAAATATCCATTAACATGCATTCATGCATACACAATCATAACTTTGCTTGCTCAATTTGTCTATCTATTTAGACATCATTTGGCATTACCTTTCATGTGTTTTTTTAAAATGTTTCTTATTTTTTAAAATCATTAAATCTATGTACTTTCAAATATATGTTTTGAATGATTTTAATAAACCATTAAGAAACATTTAAAAATTCATTAAATTAATATTTTCTGAATAAATAAATGCTTTGTGTCGTATAATAAAACACTTATTTGGAATCGCATTTAATTTGATTCTTGTTTTTGATATTTTAGTGTAGAATACTTTTTAAAAATATATTGTACTTGAAAAAAATATAAAAATAATTATTTTTTCAAGATTTTTTTATTTCAAAACAATGTGTTTGTTTTTTAGATAGTTTTTGTGGTTGTGGTTTAAGAAAAGCAGTTAGATGTGGTAATTGGATTTAGATACGTGTTTTGTAAAAATTATAGTTGAAGTTTATGTGTAGCAAAAAACATATATAAAATGTCTAGTGGAAGTATGGTCGCGGTTGTTTTTCAAAGTGTTTTTTTACTTGAAAATATATCAAAATAATATTTTTTTATTTTTTAAAAATTATTTTTTATATCAACACATCAAAATGATCTGAAAACACCAAAAATATATCAATCTGAAGCAAAGAAAAAAATTAAAAAAATTCAATTTTTTTTAAAAGCATTTTTGAAATGCAAAAACAAACAAGGTTTTATGAAACTCAAGTAAAAAAACATGTAAAACTACGTTTCAAACTCAATTTTTTTGTGAACCCCGCAGTACAAACGCAGTTTGGTTTGTTACCAAACATCTTGCAGCGTTGGTTTCACTACAAACGCAAAAGCTGGTGAAAAAAAAACACAGCCAAAGTATTTAAAAGGCACATCTTGCTTCCTGTAACAGACATCCCAATTTTACTTATTTGATTAAAAAACATAATAATTTAACTGGAAAACCCTAGAAAGTGGACTAGTGGAGTGGGCACTAGCCCCGTAAAGTTAATGATGTTTACCTTTGGGCATTTTGGTCCTTCCAGCAGACGCCTTTCTGATTTAGGTGTTCTAACAAAGTCCACAAATTTTTTTATGGCTGCAGAAAGGGCATCGGAATCGCAGATAAGATATTCATGGAAAGATCGATCAACAGCTACACTGGCAAAGGCCCTGTTGTTCACCAACACTGATCTCAGATCTGTCAAGTGACCTGGTTTCATTTTTGGATAGACTGAAAATAGATATGAAGTGATCAAGTAATCCAAGACAGCATCTCCAAGGAACTCCAATCTCTGGTGGAAACATCAAAGTCATAGCAAATTGCAGTATCATAACACCAAATTCTCCAAATTAGTTAGTTTGGAAAAAATTGTGAAGGACAGAAGGCCATTTCTAGCCAGTTTCTCAATTGAAATAAGACCTGGTTACTCAATTGAAAATAAGAGTTCATACCTGATAGCAACCCCCTCCATTCCTGTGGGAAGGATGTACAAATGCCTGTAGAAGGAGACCTTTATACAGGAACTGATGCCCCAACAAATTTTCAAGGGTAGCAAGGTCCATGGAAGGATTAAGCATTGCATAGGTCCTGCTTGCTTGGCAAATATTGATAACTTGTGAATCATCAAAATCCACTTCAATACCTATCCATCTAAGAAATGCAATTGCGGCTTTAAAGCCACTGTCAACTAGAAATGCTCCTATGAGAGCTTCAACCACATCAGAAACTGTTTTCTTATGTAGCCAATGGTGACCTTTGCTGCATCTGACTTCACTACCCTTTGCTTGGCCAGTCACATGGCTTCCACATTGAGAATGAATAGTTCCTCTTGATTCCTTGGTGCAAATTCTAGGGCAAGGACGACCCAAAGCAAAAAATTGGTTGGGATCAAATGGTTGATCACGAATAAATACCTAAAAAGGGCTGAAACATATCACTTAGATGTTGAAACAAAAGAAAAAACTATTCAATATCAGAGCATGATTTCTTTGCAGAAATTGTTTTGTGTGGCCATAATGAATATGTACTGTTAGTCTAAGGAAATGTATTTTCCTAACATTTCAACATAAAGAGCGGTGGCCGACACATTAAACACATGGAAGAGAGACGAAAAAAAGCAAACAAGACTCCTTTCCAGTATGACTGTCTAGGATTGTCACTTGCCCGCAGTTTTCATTAGTTAACATCAAATTTTACCCTTTAAGCCTTTTTGGAGAACAATCCAACAACTTATAAATGCTAGATATGAGAACTCATTTTTTGCAATTTTTTAGGTGATGTCAAGTATCAAAAAAACAAAGATAACTATTTGATAGATTAAAGACTATAGATGACTAATTATACAGATAATTTTCAAAAATAATATCATACCTGTAAATTGTTCCTACTTGCTAGCTTGAATAAATTGGAATTCTTAACAGCATTTGATCGTTTCCTAGTTAGCTCCCCTTCATCAAGGGTATCATGCAAAAGAAAAAAATGCCGACCAACAGCAAATTTGAGGAAAGCATCACCAAGTGTTTCAAGTCTTTCAAGAGAAAGACGCTCCTGACACTTCTCTGTGGTGAGAGCTTCTAAAACCTATAAATTAAGTAGCAGATGTTAGTGGCAAAGGCAGTTCACCTATATGTGGATAACTTAGCAAATTGCCAGTAGAAACCCAATGTAAAACAAGATAAGCAACTGCTTCTCAAGACCAGTACTCAAATTATTTTATGCAGGGAGAGCTCTTACTCTATGGGCGGTAACTTTATCTCCTTCAGAGAACGAAGCAGATAATATGCATTTCAATTCAATGGCTACAAGCAAGTTTTCCAAGCGGTGCATAACTGATGGAAGTAGAGAAATAGAACTCCCAATGTCTTTAGAGAATCCTATTATCTTCAACTCACAAAGCTCGGGAGCCAAATCAACAAAGTGCTCATCCAGTTCTTGCAATTCTGTTTTAGACAAAAACTAATTTACAAGAAAAAACAAACAATCACACACACACAAAAAAAAGCACGCGCACAGAAGTAAATATCAGTAAATAAATTTGACAGAGTATCCAGAGGAGGAGAGATCAATGAAAGACAGGAAACAAAAATAGTGGATGCTAGTTCCCTTCTCAATTCGGATGCATCATAGTTTAACTCTATTCCACTAATTTCAGAAGCCCTAACCAAAGCAGTAAGATGGCCACCTGTCATTTCGAATGCACCAGACAGGCAGATAACCCCTATCTCAACTATAATGTTCAGGCTAGATATGAAAGAGGCCAATATTACAACTTCAAATTTAGTGCACAGTCAAACTTATTGTGTTTTCTCATGAAAGAGATTTTTTGGTCCCTTTTCCATTAACCGGGTCAATGAAATTAGAAGTTGGAACCAAAAAAGAAAAAAATCTTGAAGTTTCTTCTCTGCATAATTGCTCCAAGTGAATAGATAATTGCAGATTCCATACACCTTCAGGCAACATGCATAACAAAAATGAAAAACAAAAGGAGAAAAATAGAAGTGAAAGATTACCTGAATCCCCTTTCTTTCGGTTGCATAGCAAGTTGTGCAAACAAAAGAGTTGTTTTGCACGCAAAAGAGGTTGTTTTGGATATCTAAGATGAATGCCAAACCTAAAAACAGGGAGTTTTTAGTTTAAATTTTCATCAAATTTCCCTGACATTGATGCTGAAACTATCCTTGGCATAAGAAGAAATAAGGACAATATAACACATAATGTTTCAGGAGGAAACTATAATGAAAGAGGTTGTGCTGGATATCTAAGATGAATGCCAAACCTACTACCAGGGAATTTTTAGTTTAAAGTTTCATCAATTTTCCCTGACATTGATGCAGAAACTATCCTTGGCATAATAAGAAAGTAAAGACAATATAAAACAAAATATTTCAGGAGGAAGCTATAATGATTTAAACATATGTGGTGATATTTAATAAACCAAGCCACATACGTTGTTTTTAAGTGATCCTTATGACTCAGAGTGTTTGAACCTTTGCATGGACTGTCACCATTCTTTTCAGGAACAACGTTAGTAATGAAGTAAAATTTTTTCTGGTGTGGAGTGTACACTAAACTATTCTCAACATCACGGATACTACTGCAGCCATTAGCAAGTTGCATGCAATCACTTGAAGGAAGAATTCCCTTGTCCACAGCATTGGCTGGATTCTTGAAAACAGGAGATGATAAACATCGTCTGATAATCTCCCACTCTACAGTCACTCTCCTTTCAGAGACATGAAAAATAACAGGAAGCAATAGGTAGAAGGTTGGGCATGATTTAGATAATGCATCCTTTCCCAAGGGAACATATTCATGAACAAATTCTGATCGATCGAGAATGGCCTTGAGAAACAACTCTTGAAAGTTTGTTGCATATGTGATCTGTATATATACAGCCAGTAAATAGATGGAACAATGTTAAGCATGACATTTAGTAGCAAAACTGTGGTTTACCTCATCTGTACTGAATTTTGAAAGTCCTGATGGGACAAGCTTTGTCATCACAGATCTACCTCGAGCCAGGTGAAGTTCAAGACTCATTTTATCAGCCTCGAGTGGGAGTGGTGCCTTCAGAAAAAGACCAAACTGCTTATAGATCCTGTCTTCAGGAACAGGACAAAATTCAATATAGTAAGAGTTAAGGTGGATAGGCTTCTCCAATTCAGTCCACGATTCCTTCAGAATAGCAGGAACTAGCATCTCGTGTAGTTCTCCTCGTGAATCCTTGTCTGCCAACAAACAAAAACATTATCGATCCAACAAACTGAGAATAAATCGCAAATGAAGAAAAAGAATTTTTAAGTGAGTTGTTAGATTCAACCTTCACAGATATCTGAATCAGAAGACACTGACTCCAACTCATTTGTGTCTTCTTGTTGTGGCAAAAGAAACTCACTCAATGCACCCAGTTTATGCAATTGTTCAATGGCTTTCAGACAAGCATCTTTTTTAGCAACTTCTATTGATGATTGAGGTGTCCCGACTACATTGTGTATGGGAGCATTGGAGGGTAAGATTATGTGGCAAACAGTTCCTTCAGAATCATCAAAATAAAAGAATTTTGGCTTGGGGTCGAAATACCTGCAAAAGAAGTATCAATGATCTCACTAAATATTTGTTGGAACAGCTGGAAATATTTCAACAAAATATAGTCAAATCACAATTTTGAACAAGAGCATACTCGTCATGTGGGAGTTTTGAACAATAGTGCTGCAGTAATGAGATGCTTAATCCAGAAGTTATGGAAGCGCCAGTTGCATGAACTTTATATATTTTTTCCTCAATACTATCAAATGTCTCCCTTGATGTACGGTCACATATTTCAATATTCATCCGAGCTTCATCTATTTTAAATTTCTCTATCAAATCTCTCTCCTTTTGGTTTCCACTGCATTACTAAGAAAATTATTCTACAAAAAAATAAAGTAAAACTAAAACAGCACAAGGAAGAGCTTATATTATATACACACTATGCTTTAGAAGAGCACCTGTCCACCAAAAAAGCATATTCAGATTGAGGCATTCGTGCACGACCCCTTGATTGTATAAAGCTGGCAACAGTTTCTGGAAGATCAAATCGAATCACAAGACAGCATGTCTGAATATCAAGTCCTTCTTCACCAACTTTAGTTGCAAGCAGTAAGTTCAACTGCCAAACCACCAAAGCCATGAGAATTAATAACCAGTCTAAGAGTATTTGGGGGGGGTTGGTTGGGGGACAGCATTAACGCATACCACAACTCTAATCAGATAGATGTTGCATTAACACATACCACAACTCTAATCAGATAGATGTTGCATTAACACATACCACAACTCTAATCAGATAGATATTCCACACCAAATCTATTCAAAATGTGAACAGTTATGCTACATGGCTATCCAGTATACTATTCCTGGTAGGTACCTCTAATCAACTGGACCCGGGGGTGCATCCTAAAAGAATTGCTTCCTAGATGTTTTTCCTTTTTTCTTTCATGATTTCTCAAGTCAGCTTTCTGTGTAGGCATTATTACCACATTATGGCATAATGACAAAGCACGTTCTCAAGAGATTCAAATCTGAGTAGTGGGCTGACGACAGTAAAACTCAACTGACCACAGCATATCCAACACTTTGCTACTTGCTTTTGTACTCGATAGGTTAGCATACTCTGTTCTGTTTCCCTCTTATTCCTGTTTCTTTATTGCAAGACAAAAGAGATCAATAGCTCTACTACTCTCATTGTGATCTGATTTCCTGCTAACAATCAAAAACCTAAAATCTAGGAGTTTCAATGCCACAAAAGCTTAACTCAAAATATTTAGGCGGCCAGCAGATTTTTTTTTTCAATTCCCAATGAGTTAATTAGTACTTCAAGAAGGATCCTAATCCTTTCATAAAAAAAATGTATAGTGATCAACTCAGCTAAGCCTCAATACCAAACTAGTAGAGATTTCTTACATGGATCCTTTTCTTTTGATCAGTTTAATTTGGAGCCAAACTTTCTTACCTTGTGATGCTAAATTAACTTCTACCAATTCAGTCCACATTACTTTCAATCGAACACTCCCCTTCCTCAATCCCACATTTCCATCAAGGCACTCTTCCTTGCTGATGCATCCATAAAAGTCTGCACAAGACATGGTCAAACCATCCCAGGTGACCATCTGCACACAATTCAACTACTGACACTCCTTGAATAAGTTCACAATGTAACTTTTCACTCAAGAAGTAACCTCATAGGATGATGTCAAAGACTCGTAGAGCATATTGTATGGTTTCACACAAAACAGAAGTAATTTTCTTTTTTAGTGCCCAGTCAACCCCATCAGCTAATATGTAAGATGACAACAGAAATGACCAAGGCTGAAACATTACAGGCAATAAAGCAGTACCTTTCCAGTCCGGAAACTCTCAAGAATGACATTCATTGTCTTTCGTGACATACTCTTCAGTCCAGAGTGAACCCCAACAAGAAAATCACACTTCCAAGATGTTAAAAACTTCAGATTTTGTAGGATGTGTGATAGTGATCTTGCAGTAACAATCCTATTGACAAAAACTATACACTTCATATCTGGTTGTAACCTGAAAAGGGAAATGAATATCTTTCAAAAACCTGGTCATTTGTATTGATTGCTGATCGACTAACGTACAACAGGTCAATAACTTCCATGAAACACCAAGAGGAAAGCTTAGTTGAGTTCCATTCAAACACAGACAAATAACAAATGAAACAAAATCAGATAAGAGTCTTGCCATCATCAAAACCTTTTGGTTTGATTATGGTCCATAATCATTTTAGTTTTTGCTGCTGGAATCATAGTAACAAGAAAAAGAGAGAGAACCTGGGGAAATTGTTATTGCAAATTACCCTTCAAATTAATCAAAGGATATATATAGGTCAAAAGCTGTTATCCGCATATTATTCAAGTATAACACGTACATGTCATTTTGAAAAGGACCAGCACATAATTACCAACCTGAAGTTGGAAAGAATTTCAATTAGGCATAAAAGCTTTCTTGAGAAAAATGGCTCCTTTAAAACCTCCACCTGTGATACATTGGATGTGACACCATCTACAAGAACAGAAGAAACAAGATGCTGATAAAATGCAACAAAAGTAGCCGTTGAATTTCATACTTAATTCATTTGAACACCAATCATAACAGATTTTCAATTCAAAATTTCAAATAAGTGGGAATAACCATGCATGATTAGAAGCACAAAATAGGGTTATATATTTCCAATACTACAAAACTAGGATGGAGTGCATAGCCAAGTTTGAAAGCTGGGACCAGAAAGTGTTTCTAGTTCGGCTCAGTTTTTACACATACTGTTCCCTTTTTTTCCCTATAGATAGAAAAAGATATTTATTAGAATACCATGAGAAAGAAGTACATTGCAGGAGGAAGATAGCTTTAATAGTTCTCTACTTCATCCATGATTCAGCTTCTTTATGTTTTGGGCCTTCTAGCTTTAGTGATATCAATGCAGTTACCACTATGCTCATTTACATACAATGCCATTTTGAACTGCCTGATCCAAGTTCCAACTGGAACTGCTAATCTTACCACCTTGGACAAATCACGGAGGTGCTAATTTTATGCATTTAAGACTAATACACAGTAAAGAAAATTATCATTGCTCAAGTTGTTATGCCTACAAACCAGGACCATACTAAATTAGAGAGCATCTTTGTGGAAAAAGCAATCGATTATCAATTGATATATTGAAAACATGAAACTTCCCAACATGTACCTAGTTAACAAATTGTTTTTATTTCTGGCTATGCATTTGTTTCCATAAACAATAGTTCTCAGCCCCAATGTGCTTGTCCATTTTGAGGAAACCCGCACTTAAACTAAACAATAATTAAGGCCAGATATAATAAAGCAACAAATCCAAGGGAAATAACAGAACATTGATTTTTCAAATAAACAATAATTATATGCCATATCAAAACAGAAAGGAAAACATGCATTAGGATACTGAGCCGTACTCTAATTTTCATTTTTATTTATTTGAGCAAAATCTCAAATTTGACTATTATTATCTAGAAATATGTTACAGATAACAATGGAAGAAAACAAAATATGAAATACTTATGATGTCACTTCAAGGCCTCAAACTCTAGGGTAGGACCATTAATGATTGGCCATCCACTGTAAACTTGAAGCAGTTAGACTCCTATGTATGATCATGATATGATCATGATATGATCATCATGGGTAGAAGACATTAATGGAAGCAGTTAAAAATAATCAAACATCAAAATACCTCTTGTACAATCAGCGGCAAAGACATTTGCAGCTTGATTTAGGTATCTATCACACACGGAGACATCGCTAGTATTCCCTTCTGCTTCGATCAATGCATTCCACTCAGAGTGATCACCACTCAAAAGAATATGACAAGCCTTCAGAAAAAATGGGGGGGGGGGTAAATTAAAACTTATCAAGTACTTCCCATTGAAGATCAGCAAGCGAAAATCTACTTAACACAAACAAGTTACAGCAGATTGATGAAATAATTATCCCAACAATGATAGTTCTCCTACACCCCCAAATCACCAATCAGTTGCTACGTCTTGGTAAGTAAATACCTCACTTTTCAATGATTATAAATGTTTCATTTCAAAAATATGTCCAGACAAAAAAGATTTTAGTTCTACATCCTTTGCTTGTCCCACCTCAAATACCAACAGCAACAATCTCCCAAAAATTACATTCTCAACTCCCTTTAAAAAACTGATCATCAAATCCACCCCTCTTTCATAACCAGATTAATCACTGTGTTCGCATGCAAATGTATAAGGATTATGCTTCATTGCAATTTGTTGCTGTTATCTGTATTTCAAAAAATTTGCATTCCTATATGTAGGCAACTATTTCAAATAGGAAATTCCATATCAAATGTTCAAAAGATCATAGCTGTATAAATGCTGAGCTTGGATGTTACAGAATTGAATAACAAATTCATGCCGAAACCAAACTACAGAACATCTCAATAGAACAAATATAGATTAGCATGCAGGGAAAAGAAGTAAAGGACTAGAGCAAGCTAAACTTTGAAAGGAAAATTATTGGTTGAATGTTACGTGAACATACCTGCAAAGCTCCCCAAAGGCCAAGATTTTCCAAACAAAATATGATATTTTCATGCATTCTGATAAGCATTCTTTTTGTGCTTCGAAGACTTTCAAGACTTTGGTTTCCATCTGTTTTCTTGCCAATTTCCACTATGCACTGTTCTTATCACAAAGAAATAGCAAGCAATTCACTTCAGGGTGAAACAAATTTATAATTGACAAAAACACAGTTACCTAAAACACACCTGGCGCTTGACCCCCTCAAGTATATTATAGTAAGCCTCATAGGAGCTAGAAGTGCCATTTGCAACAGGACCATACAGATATACTCTAATTACAGGAGATGCTACAAAGCGTTCCAACTCTTCCTTGTCTTCAACTGAATACACCTGCAAAATGGCAGTGAAACACAGTGATGTCAACTATAGATAATGTGGAACACCAAGGTCAGTACCACAAAACAACCAGCCACCATCAAAACAAACTTTGGCACAGACTAGTACACAAAATTTGGATCAAATATTTCCTACTCAATACTTTATCCATTTTATATAGTTTGTGAACTCAGCACATCTGATAACCCAGGGTGTCATATATGAAGAGCTTTAGGATTTAGGACCAAGCTTTACTTTCAAAAAGTATATTCTTTTATTAATAGTTAAAAGGTTAACAAGCCATATGCTCTGCAACTTTAAGAACTTTCAATGAAGTCATCAAAATTCAACAAATTCAAAATGAACTTTTGAAAGTTGCAAATCAACCTATTTTAAGCTCAGATATCAGAAAAAAGTTGACCTATGTAAGCTTAACTAGGGAAGTGCCTATGCATGCATTCCCTGAATCACTCTCTAAGCAGCACAGGACCAAAACGAGGAAGAAAAAAGTTTAAACATGAACTTTATTTTTCTTTTAACGAGGAGACTGCAACTTCCAACAGAATTTACAACAGATTGATGAGCCATAAATGCTTTCCATCTTTTATTTTCTGAATTACATTGTAATGTTACAGTAGGAAAGAATCAGAAGCAGAATAAAACTCTCTCTAATAACGACTGAATATGACTGGAAACAGAACTGCTCATGCACTTAATACAGTGGCAAAACACTGGTGAAATAACAGAATATCTTGCAGTATAATATTTTATAACTAAATGCAATCTCTGATAACATATCTCCCAGCAGAAGCCCAGACTGAAAACTACCATGCAGTTTAAAGCACACACATCTACCACATACAAGGCATGGATATTCCGCACAAGGCCAGAGCTCATCTTTAAAAGAGTATATATAGTTAACAGGCCTTTGAAAATGACTATTTTGAAGAGAAGGAAAAAACAAGCACTACACATATCTTATCCAAATAATTTTAAAGTTGGCAGTTTTCATCGCCTACCTTAGCATCAAGTAAATTTTCAAGACTATTGATGCTTCTTGGTAAATTTTCTCGACTAGAAGCACCTGGAAGATAACACATACACAAGAATTTAGAAACCAACAAGTTGAAGGAGGCTAATATCAAATACCTGAACCACACAGCAAAAGGCAAATTGTGAAACAATAGAATACGAGTATTTTTGAGAGCAAGGAAAGGATCTGAGCATAAAAGTGCTAAGAAGAGTAGAAAGAAACTTTGAGATTGTAAAGTAGTTTGCTAGTCAAACACTTTGCACTAGAATTTTGAATTCCTGACAAGTCTTTTTCAGCCTTGTTTTTTTCTTCTATCCTTGACATCAAGCCACGCAATGGGGCATATAGATCCCCTCCTATGAAACTCAAATTCTAATGAAGACTATAACTGACCCAACTCTCAGGTCCAGCTCAGGAAATTTTAGAGCAAGTATTTGAAACCATGGCACAGGTAACATCCCACTTCATAAATATGTTTCCCACATGAGAAACTAAAGGTACACTCCAACTAGGAAAATTCTAACAAAAAAACAAAAGGTGCTAAAATTCACACCACTGAAATTTATACATGTGTATTTACATTTATTGCATGCTCACATGCACAAAGATGTAATTACATTTTCTTTAAAATTGATATAACTCTTGCTTTAGTAACTGTGATGATAGAGTAAAGCTAATTTTACCAAATATTCTTTCCAGTGTCTCATCCAAATGATCTTGCACATTGAATGAGTAGATCTCATAAATCCCGTGGTTCAATTTTTTTCCAGAAGTGATATCACTAAATATCTTTCAGTAGGATTAGCATTACACATTCTGAAATATTTGATCTGCCACGAATATAATTAATGCACATTGTATTTGGACTTGATTTGGCAGATTACATTTATTGGATTGAACTACAGTCATCAGAGAAAGTAAGACAAGAACTGAAAAATCATTCCAGACTACCAAGTGCATTTAAGTCCCAATGCATAGTTATCACATGGATGGTCAAGACAAAAGCGAACACAATAGATGCAAAAGCAATATCAGCATAAATTCTCTGCTAGAAAAATATGTAGGATAAAAATGAAAAAAAGGATAAAAAAATACTAAATGATACATTGAGTGCACATTAGGTGTGGTAATTCAAACGCATCAACCTTCTATATGTCCAATCACTCTCCTTTTCTTCATCTGCAGAATCTTACTAAGAACATGAGGTGATGGAGTAAGATTTCAAGGGAAGAGTGTTTCCCTATATCTAGGCTATTTGAGAAGAAAATATTTAACGACTAATATCTGCAAAAGGATGTGGGAACCACCATTTGCATATGGTTGCATCCATAACCCATGTTTGTCTCAATATTTATTGGGAAAGATTTACTCTGTTATCAAAGGGATATTTGGCATATGTGTGTTCCACACTTCTCAATTGCCAAGGAGTCTAATCCTTTCTGTTTTTCCTTCTATCTTTCTATCTTTGTATTTTAAACTGTTCCAACAAATAAATATGCAAAAACACTTGTCTTTTTACTTTAGTGTTAAATTGAAATAGAAGAAAAAAATATTTGTATGTCACTCAATCTTTTTACAAGGGAGACCTGCACATAGAACCCCTGTATTCAATTAAGAAAAATAAAATGTTGCAACCAAACAAAGTAAAATCAGCATTTTCCTTTTACTTTTCTGAGCTGAAAATTTACATCAGTTATACAGTAACCAGGATAAGATTCATATCCCCACAATATACGCATTTAAATATTCTCAACACTTTGATGTGAAAAAGAAACCAGACACCTTGATACAAAATGCAGGAATGCAGTACCTTTCCCCACAACTGGAGATGCAGTCATGCCAAAGATACGGGGAAGTTTTCCATCATTAGTTTTGTAGAAGACCTATACAATCATTAAGATACCAAGTTAAACAAACCAATAACAAAAGGACATATATTTACATGCACATGCCTCTGTGTCTGTGTTCACACGTACAAACACAAATTCATGTAGCCCTTACTTTCATGATTTGTGCATAAGGATGACTGCTTTTGACTTGAGCATGATGACACTCGTCAAATATCAAAAGGGCAATTAAGTCCATCTTGATGAAGCTGTGACTTAAGTTATACAGTAGTATCTGAGGTGTCATGACAAGAACCTGCATAGATCAGTCAGGAAAAAAAAAACTATTATCCCTGGATGATACTGAGCTATCAGAAACTGCTACTTAAATTCAAAGAAAAGAGTTACATCTTTTCAAAGTGGCTGAAAAAGTAAAACAATAGATATAAATGGTTTGCATCTTTTCTCACTTGAGATAAGAGAAATCAAAATTTAGCAAATGCCAATGAAGCGCATTAAATTTATTTAGGGCAAATCAGAGTTGTCTCCTTCAGAGTACTCTAGTTGTTTATAGAAATCTGATCTCATAGAAAGCAACATGCTTGTCGAAGGTAAATTGAAGATTAAATATAAGGAGCAAGAAAGTTTGGGTCTGAAATAAATGAATAAACTTAGTAATGAAATTAATTAACTAGTAAAACTACCTCATATTGTTCAATCTCTTTCTCCCAGCTAGAGTGGGTCTTCAATCGATTGGTGTTTCCGCAATAGATCCCAACCTTGAAATCAGTAGAGTCCTCTATAACCTTGGCTTGCTGCAGAAACAATATCCATTCAATTCAAAACCAGTCTGTAGGCTGAGAATGTTTAGCCTTGGCATTGATATATCAAACAGAGTTGCAAAATTCACCATAAAAAAAAGAGAACAAAAAATTTGCATGAATATGCTCACATAGCTATTCCTTTTACATAAATTGAATTGTATCTAAGAACTGGCACTGTCAGGACTAAGAGGTTTTTTACCTGAGAACTGAAAGACTAGGGTGGTATAGATTCATATGAAAACAGATCACATTACTATAGAAAGTCTTAACAAATGCTGGGACATGGAATAATCATTTTGGAGGCATTATAACCATAGTGAATGACGCACAGTTAGAAAATGCATTTTTTAGTGTAACATGGAAAGAAAGAAACCAGGCTAACAGTATAGATCATCTAGTTATCAAGGATCATCTAACTAATTTAATATATGGCTCAATACAGCTTCAGGGCTTCAATGAGGCAATTATAGAAGTTTTCTTTTTCACTGATGTTCTTGATAAGCCCTGCCTCAGAGCTGCTTCTGAAAAGGTAAAATCCAGTAAACAAGGCTTTGTGCTTCATTGTAAGTGATAACAAGCAACCCACAATGTCTTTTTTCATTGACACATGTACTTTATGAAGGTATCAGCTCTTGAGTTAGTCTGGTATTGGTTTGGTACAATATAAAATAGTGACTGCCTGGTTCGGATTCAATTCATCTACTTGTAAGCTCGCTTGAACGAGAGCTAGATCCATTGAAGAACTGGACTACAGGATGAAAGACTATGTTAGTGATACAAATAAAAGACCATGAGACACAAGCACTAAGCCTGCACTTTTTCACTTTCATTTTTCATTTATTACTCTCCTAAAACAAGATTCAAACCATAGAACCACTCAGCCCCAACCCTGCCTCTTTGCCACTAAGTGCCTGTTTGGGAAAGCGGGTGCGGCTGCAGTTGCAGTTGCACCAACGCCCGTGCTCCCAAAAGTAGCCTAATCCCAGTTCCAAGACACATTGCCACTGAATACTGCATAGCATACCAGTTGATAACATATAAGCTGCAACATTTATCTTGAAAGCATACATCATCCAAAAATCAAAGAGTAAATCAAGGAAAAAGTACATTAGACAAGAGAACCTCACCTGATGAACAAGGGCAACAGTGGGTGCAAGAAAGACACAAGCACTCTTCTGAGGTTGCCTTATCAAGTGACCCATTTCGTATATAAGCAGGACAGCAATGTGAGTCTTGCCACAACCTGTCCCCAAATACACAATTATATTCTCTTCCAGAGCTTTCTTGCATAATTCCAACTGATACCTGAAAGTTCCAAAAACCAAAATACAAGAAGGGAAAAAAAGGAAAATTAGCCGAATTTGCAACTGAAAATGCAAAACCCCCCTTTATAGAGATTCAAAAGGATTAGCAAACAAGGTCTACATAAGATCATCAAACCACAGAATGGGCTTCTCTCAATTAACTTTTCAGTTTCTACTTTCTAGCCCTTTTATTTTATTTTTTAAAAGAAAAAAAAAAAAGCACCATCTCGATCGTTGCGCCCTTTTATTTTATTTTTTAAAAGAAAAGGAAAAAAAAAAGCACCATCTCGATCGTTACTTCACTCACGCACACAATTAACAAAATATTGATCCAACGTAACCATTTGGTATCCAACAAAAGCCAAATACGTTAAAAAAAGAAGAAGAAGAACCCATCCTTTTTTTTTCTCCATTTTCTCACCAGCCAAACAGAAAGTAACGAGCTTTGACCACTTCAAACACAAAAATTTAGCCAAAAAACCATGACCCGAATAATTCAATGAAATAGCCAAAAAGAACCAATTCTCTTAAAGAAAAAGAAGTCATCTTTCGTTGTCGTCCATTTTCTCAACAACCAAACAAGAGAATAACCAACTCTGATCACTTGAAACACAAGAACTTACAAAACCCAACAAGAAACACGCCAAGAAAACGGAAGAAAAAGAAAAGAAACAACAGGACAACCAAAACCCACCAACAAAAACAAATAAAGAAAAGAAAAACAAAATTAAATGACATTACTTTCTTGCCATTTTTCTTGGGTCTTTCTCAGTCTTCTGAAGTCCACCAACAATCGAAGACGACACCACACGAGCATTTGTACCGCCAACGGAGAGAGAACTATGTTCACCAGTAACATGACCGCCAGACATGGCTGGATGAGTGTACTCGGTGGCACCGTGTGAATTGTGAGTTTCTGTCTCTTTCTGTATCTCTCTCTTGTTTTCTATAACCAGACTAATGTTTCTGCGCCATCGTTCTTTCCACGGGGACGGAGAAAGAGAGAGGGAGAGAGATTCTCTGCTTTTGTGAGAGGTAGTGGGAGAAGGAAAGAATTTATGATGTACTTGCTGCGGGTTGAAGGCAAGCAAGAGCTCAGAAAGCACTCGGGGAAATATTTTCAAAAAAATTGACTTTATGCGAAAGAAGGGCGAAAATGTGTAGTGGGGCGGAGAAGAAATTGCCGGAAAGAAATCTGTATAAAATAAAGTATGGAATTACTTGGTCAATTTCCCAAAGGTCTGTCCTTTGGTAGATTGATTGAGGAGTGCACTTCGTATGTCGAATTATTTTGTGTATTCTTGTAATTGTTTTTTAAAGTATTTTTTATTAAAATTTTGAAAAAATTATTTGTAAAATCAAAATATCCAAAATATATATAAATATTAATTTTTAATAAAAAAAAATTAAATTTTTGTCCTTAATTTTTAATAAAAAAAATTAAATTTTTGTCGTCTCCAGGCGGCGCCTTGATCGAACAATTACATCAGGGGAGGGTTCTCGGAGATCCGTTGGTGGTCTTAAAGCGTGATAACATGACATGCATGTCGATGTGGTTAACAAAACAAGTAAAGATCGGAGGCAGTTTGTCCGTAGTAGAAGACAACGTTTTTCCATTCGTGTGCTGACGTTTCGATTCGCGCTCAAAATCCGAAAGCCTTGGTTTTCGTTACGGTTTTTTTACACGATGATGTACTGATAGAGAATGTAAAAGTTTTCGTTGCTTAATTTGTCTGCAGAGTGTTTTTTTATTTCTCGTGCGGGATTTTTTTTATAATTATCAAATTTATTGTCCAATTTAATCTTTTAAAACCGATTGATTATTATTTTTCATGTATAATGCTTGGGTTTAATAAAAATCTTGGGTTTTAAAAAATTAAAGGTTAATATTTCTTTTATTTCATCTTTTTACATTAATTTTTTAAACAAAATTAGTGTTATAGTTTTATTCGATTTTTGTTTTATCAAATTATTTCAAAATTATAAATTGTTATATGAGTTTGGTAGATTAACCCGAATCAGGTTATCTTTAATTTCTCAAGTTATTTATCTATTATGCACCGATTTTTTATACTTTTATTTACTGAGTTTCGCCCTTTCATGTAAAATAAATGACATCATTTTTTTGTTTTTAAAAAAATATTTTTTTTCCTATGTTATTATAGTTATTTTTTTATTTGTTTACCATCATTATTTTTTTCATCTAAAGCTATAACCATAATCATTGAGTTTTATTTTCTTAATAAACACTTGCCACATCTAAACTATAAGAAGAAAACTAACACGGACATGCAGAATAACATGAGCCCACTTCTAGTATATAAATATTTCTTAAGTCAATTCACATTTATTTTGTTTGTATTAATATATTAATGGATGTAGAAATTATGTCTTTTGTAATTTTTACATGCATTTAAATTTAAAAGAGATCTCAGCAAATTTATAGTGCGATAAAATTTAATTTATAATATATGCATAATTTAGACATGTTCCATTTTTATGGTTTATGTATAATTTGATTTATTATCATTTTATCAAAATTAGAAATGCAGTAATTGTTGTTCTTTTTAGGGCATTCATGCATTGTCTTTTACTAGAGAAAAAAAAAAGACAGAAATTAATTGGTGCGAAGTACATGGTTCAAAATAGTAGCACATGATTTTATTCGAGGGTTGATGATTGATAGTAAACAAAAAGTTTTTTTTCTTGTTGTATGGATGTATACATATTGTCCATGATGCCAGAAAATGCGTGATTATATCATAAATTGTATTATTAATGTGTTAAAATACAACACAATAAAATTTAGTATAGCAACCATTTATTTAGATATATTGGGATATTGAGTTCTTACCTATAAGAGTGGCACAAATCATTGTTTAACAAATAAAAAATGAGCATGAAATATGGTTGTAATTAGAATTTTTTTCAAAACTATTATGGATTGCAATTTGGAAATGAGATTGTGATTGTTTTTCAAAATATTTTTTAAGTAGAAAAGGTATATCAATTGTGATTGTTTTTCAAAATATTTTTTACGTTGAAAAAGTATATTAATAATATTTTTTTATTTTAAAAAAATTATTTTTGATATCAGCACATCAAAATGATTAGAAAATATCAAAAATATATTAATTTTGTCAAAAACACTTTTGAATAATACTCTCAAACAAGTAATTTATTATATATTTATAAGTGTTTTAATACTGCAACATATATAAAAATTAAGCTAAGAATAGGTTTGCAACACTACATCATCAAGTCAATCAATATATTATTAGGTCTACACGTATCAATTAATTTATTCAAAACAATAATGTTTTAATTTTTTTATGTTAACCCAACTGCGTTTAGACTAGGTTTTGATAAGTTAATATCTTATTTAATTTAACTAACAACTCCATTAGGTTAGATTTCAAGTTTTAAATTTCTCGAATCAACTTGTTGAGTTAAAAAAAAATTAAAAACTATTATTTAAACCATCGAGCTGACTCATTTATATCATCCTACTCTTTTGGAAAGATTTTTTTTTCTTTTCTTATAAAAGAGGATAATTTATTGAAGAACAGAGCTAAAACTTACCGCACTCCAAATATAACATATTACGTAGCTAACAAGGAAGGTGGGATAGGGGACCCTATAAAGTATTAACATGCTTAGTGACGAGGCGAAGATTTACACTCAAGAGCCCAGGCCTAAGACAAGGAACACAAGGTAAGGACCAAACCCAAAAATAATAGGATACAGGGTGAACTCGGGGGCTCGGAATCCGAGTACGAACCATATTTCTTTATGCTCGTCTATGGTGTGTGCTCCAATGCTCATCTAAACCTAGGATGGACACCATGATTTGCAACAAGCCTAATTGATCTAAAAATAGATAGAAAAAGCTCGGCCTTGATTATCTCTACCTACTCTCTGTATAATTAATACTTAGCATCAAATGCTCCCACGTCCTTCTACCATAATTAGGCCAATAAAACAACATTAGGAATGTTCGTGTCCAGTGTACCACCAGCCATTATGGGTTGTTATCCTAAATTATTTGTATTGCATTATAGTATCCCCCACTCTACCTTAGTTCATAGCTATATAAATGTTCATAAACCACGAGACAAGGTAATTTTTTACGTTATGATTTTTAACATTTTATTTTCATCCATTTCATCGCATTTCCACAACATAGAAATACTACACAACAACTAAGACTTTATTACACCTATAACTTTTCCAACTCTTGCATCAATAAGCCCTTTAAACCTAATATAAGACTTAATTTGCATGTATTTTAACACAAAAAACTATTTAAAAAATAATCGTAATTACACTTAATAAATTGAATAATCAATATTCATCATTTTAACCCATTTATCAACCTTGTAAAGACATTAATATTTTAGGATTTTTATCAAATATTTTAGTTAAAATCAAAATAGATATTAACTAAAATATTGTTTTTAAACCAGAAAGAACTAAAATCAGTTGTGTTTTAAAAACACAACGGTGTCAGTTAAGCACCTCGAGTACTTTCACATATGAAGATATGGAACCACCCAAGGCTGATGATCAGCTGCACACCATTTTCCCCCCACCTAACAAGACAACCCTGTAGCGGAACTAGGTATAAAGTTAAGGGTGCGATGTATGGAAACCCTAGATTTTGAGAAATTAGTCCTAAACAATGAGAATTTAAATTTAAAATAATTATTAAGAAATATGTATTTTGCATAGCTCAAAAGTTATGTATTATCTCTACAGCGTTTCCTTTATTATTTTATTTTTTAGCTTATCCTATTTTTTATTTTTTATTTTCACATTTACAGTTCCGTTCATACTACAACCTGTCAAGTGTTCTCAGGTTGGCCCTGTGATATGAAACCAGTGGCTGGCTCGTTGCAAAAATTGGCCGATGAAAAGGATGGGCATTGAGAGGCGGCGTAGAATCTGATGCCTGGAAATTGATTAGTGGCAGCACGTCACCTCTGCTTAGAATACTCTTCTCCAACATATTCGCTGTCTTTATAATTAACACGAAGCTTCGTTCATCTTGATTCCAGGCCCCAAAACTTACAAAATACGTTTTGGGTCGTCGTCACAGTTAAGTCTACGACGAAGATCGGCGATACCAGTCAAGGCAGTGGTTTTCTAGCAGGAGAAATTTTATTAGGGAACAGAAATAAAGTTCTGGAAATCTCATGTGTAATGAAATGTATTGAGAAATTTAGTGTGGATCTTTTTAATATATATTCGACCAAAATTTCAACAGAATTTCTTTAATATATAGTCTTTATCAAGTTATAAACTACACTATCATAATACTATTCGGTCAGCAATATATCTTAATATGTCATTTTAATCCTCGGTGTTTTTATACCATTTTGTGGCTGAATATTTAACATTTCTGACCTAATTTCAGGAGCAAATGTTGTATAATTTATTTTTATTCATTCAATAACCACAAATATTTTTTCACTTTAATCTGCATAACAAAATCTCAATACATCAACATTTTCATCATGTTTCTTAATTATCCAAGTTATAATAGTTATAATAGGCCAGGCTTTGCATCATATATATATATATATTATACATGACACTAAAAGGTGCAGAGAAATTATTTTTTTACACCTAAATATATTGTGTATTATAATAGTAATTCACATTACATTCCTCTCCTTTTTGTTTACTTTTTTTTCTTTGTTGTGCACTTTTTCTTCCCAACTTTTCCTTTTTTCTTTTAAAAAAAATTACTTTTTTCCAGCTTTCCTCTTTCCTCTTTTTTCTTTTTTTGTTTCATTTATTTATTTATTTATTAAAATTATCATTGTTGATTTTACTTTTTAAACATTGAACTGGTTAAAAATTTTATTTTATATTTTTTCTTTAAAATACTATGAATTGCTATAATATTTTTCTATTTTATTTTTTTATTTTTCAAAATAGGTGTGGGGAAATCACTATTTCCCCACACCCAAATGCATTGTAGGTTACAACAGTAATCCATAGTGCATTCCTTCTTTTTTTTTTTTCATTTTTTCATTTTTTTGCACTTTTTTTTTTTTTTCAAAATTACTTTTTTTTCCCAACTTTCCTCTTTTTCCTCTTTTTATTTATTTTTTTTAAATTATCTTTGTTGATTTTACTTTGTAATTTTTTTCATTTAAAATATTATAAATTATTACAGTATTTTTTCACATAGTTTTTCTACTTTATTTTTTTATTTTTCAAAATTATATTTGTTAATTTTATTTACAATCACTGTT